GTTTTGTGAGGACTTTCCTGTACTTGAAAACTTTGACTTTCATTCAGATGATTGAACAATGAAAGTGAGTTTATGTTTGAAATGCTAGATGTTGGTTTTGTGCAAGAATAATTTTTCTTGACATGCTGAGAGTATGCCTTAATGGAACATGTGCGTATTTTAAAAAATATTTTAAAGTAGTTGATGTGATTGTGAAGATAACTGTGAAATTATCAATTAGATTTTCCAATGCATTTGTCTAAAGCTGACCAAGCAGTATTAGAACTCATTATTTTTAAAACATTTAAAACATTTAGTTTTAAAAATAGGTTTGCTGACGGACCATTTTGGTTGCAAATGATCTGTGGAAAATCATCTAAATCGGAATCGAACATTTTGCCAGAGATATAAAATCTATCTGTTCATTTGTTCCAAAATCATTTGATTTCTTTATTTCTTTTTTTAATGATAGTTATATGATGACAGAGGAATAGCTTTTTTGGAAGATGTGAAGAGCCTAATGTAATCAATCTCCCATGTTTTGTAATAGTTGAAAATTGTTTTTCAGTGGATTGATTTTCAATTTTCTAACATTGACCTGATTTATATGCTGTAAATTGCATCTCATAATCACATGACAAATTCTGTATTTTGCTGCTGTTTTCAGTTTTGTGACACCCAGTGATAATCCCCTTATTCATAATTAGTGTGATACAAATTTTATTGTGCAACTTATTTCTTATTAAAGGAAATGGACAAGTTGCTGCTGACATTAGGGGACATACCACATCATGCACCAGTGCTGCTGTCTTGGGCTTTGTTGCGCCATACGCTGAACCTGGATGAATCAACTCCTGTAATCAGGCACTTGGGAAGCACTGCTATTCAGCAGAATGTGTTCCAGTTTATGACACAGATGCTTAAGGCACTTGGCAGTGGGGGAAACAATGTGAGTATGGTAGTGTGGGAAAGTAATCTAATACTATGTTTAACAAAGCTTGTGTGACCACTGTTTAAAACTGAGGCCGTGATCAGTTTAGAGAATTGGTCCAGAGTTTGTGGATTAATTTACTACCTGCCTTATCCTATTCAGCCAAAGAATCATCATTTTTGCATCATTCCTATCTCAGCCATGTAGATATGGGGCATATCCAATGAAAGTAAGATTGCAGTACCAATCTGTGGAAAGAATGATGAATTGGAAAAACTAGTCACTTGTGGTCTGAGTAGTCAGATAAAAGAAATCAAGGACATATTAAGAATTGGAGAAACCCGAATAGTGTAGGTGTTTTTCTGAACATGGTGCAAAGAAATAAGGATGATACAGTGAGAGAGATTTGTTTGGGAATGGACATTTTATTGTCTCTAAAAATAACCATGTTCGATGTTAAATAAGGTAATTTAAGAAATATAGTTAACCAAGTACAATGCTGCAGATTATGTTTTGTTATGTAAAGATGCTTGTTCTCTAGCAGGAGAGGTATTTACATGCATTATTTTAATTCTCGTAGAAGTTGGATATTTAGTAAATTTTAACAACAGAATGAAACTGCCATTATTTTCAAGATCTTTTATTCTACTTTTTACCAGCTGGATTGTAGGATACTTGTGTCTGGCTCAGTTTTCATGCTTTAAAGATGCAGTGAGAGAACTCATGTGTTTTTCAGTGTACTGCCAGTACTGCACGGATGTGTTTCTATGGACTGCTGTCATTTGTCTTGACATCGTTTGAAGAAGAAACTTTGGGAGATCAGCAGGTAGAAAATATGACATTTGTGTTGACTGTTAGCATATACCTGTAATAGCCTGGTGGAAAACTATCCATAAAAATATTACCAGAAATGTTAAATTAATTTTAATATTAAAACAAAGGCCTGTACAACTTTAAATTTAGTAAAAGCAAAATACTGCAGATGTGGAAAATCTGAAACAAGCATAGAAGATGCTTGAGAAACTCCGTAGGTTGGGCAGCACCTACAGCAAAACAGTTAATGTTTGAAGTCCTGTATGGTTCCTGTTCTGAAGAAGTCATATGAGACTCAACATTCCCTCCCTCTCTCGCTCCCTCCCTGTCTCGGCACAGTATTGTTGGTGTGCCTATACCAGATAGATTAGGATGGTTCACTACCACCACCTTTAGGACCATTAATGGGCAATTATTCCTGGCCTTGCTCACATCAAGTGCCATGAGTAAAAATAAAAGAAAGCATATTGACTAATGTCTAGTAACTCTGTTAAATGTTGAACTTCATAGTATGCAAATATGCTCTCTAGTACTTGCAGGTCTGACTCATAATTAAGGAACAATTTTCCTATACACGAGTATTTTATCTAAAAATTCTAGCAAGTTTATAAAGAAACTTATTACTGGCATTAGCAAAGGGATTTCTTACTAAGCATACAAAGTTTAGCTGAGATTTCTTTTAAGATTCAGTTCCTTTAGACTAACTTTATGCAGTCCTGTCCAGTGTTGTTGCTCATTAATGGCAAGATTATTTGAAACATTTATTTCTAAATGAAAGGAAAGCAATCCAATTTCTATGTTGCAATTGTAACAAATGGTGATTTGTTCCTGGCACCTGCTTTTTTGGGCATGATTGGGAACTGGCACAATTTTCCATTCAGTTTATACTAATTCATAGTAGTTGTGTTTTGATTTAACCTTGTATATTGGGTGCAGAGCTATTCTTTATTTTCAGAAGTACACTGATTTCATCCAGTTTTTCTTCTCTTCTAGCACTTGATTGATGTTGCCTGTGAGGTATTCACAGCCCCTAATCTGGCAGAACTTTTTTGGGATACTGTAAGTACATCAGGTTGTATTTATCTGAAGATTGTAAAGATGATATGATATTGAGACCCCAGACCATTTCAAAAAACTTCATTCGAGATGTCAAATTCCTGCCAGCTGAATTGCTATAATGGTCATCTTGGGAATAGCATCCCAAATTTAATTACAAATTCCGCAGATGTTGAAGCAATTTTTCTTCCTCTGCCCATCCATTGGGAAATGAAAATTATTATTCCTGACTCACTAATGAAGAGCTTTCTCTTACTGCCATTGTGAAAGATGTTGGTCCAAGATGTCAGATGTATCTTCTACTGTCTTAACTTTTTTCTCATTTATTTAGCTGCATGACGTAACAGTGAGGCACAACTGATGAAGCATGGTTCTCATGAGGGTTCTAAAAAAAACTGAAACATTTTGGTTTCTGAAAATGGTTTAAATTGGCATCAGACATTCAGTACAATATTGTTTTAGGCTTCATTTTGTTTTAGTATAGTTGTACATTTTACAGTAACTGCATTTTTCTAGTTTTGCCTGATATAGGTGGTCTGGAAAAGCTTCTACTGAAAATAAAGCATTAATCACTAGAAAAATAGTGTCTAATAGAGGAACTGGATTAATTGTGGTGACTGTCATTTTATCATGCAGCTACCTATTTTGCATGGGAATGTAGATAAACTTATGTTTTTGCCAAGTTCCTGCGGTCCTCGGGGGTCAGGTGAGGGGTGGTTCTGATTATTAAACCAACTGAGTGTATTTTGGGCATTCCATATCTTTTTCAAAATAAAACTTGAGTAAGGAGTTTGTTAATCTTATTGCACCCTATTTCCTTCACTCTTTGTACTTAAGTTTTATAGCATTACGTGCTACAATCATAAATATGAGGAATGGGAAAAGTCCAGGAATTTTAATTGTTTCATTTGACGAAATTAAAATTGTGATGAGTTTTACCTTCCTGACATTGTGTGAACTCTGATTCCCTTTTGCATTGTTTTCTTTTTTGATATCAAGGAGCCCACAGCAGGTATTGCTATTTTGTTGGACAATAATTGTGGAATGTTCCCGCAGTCAATGGCACCACTGTTACAACTACTATCTGCACTGATATCCGATAAATCCACTGCTAAAAAGGTATGTGTAGGCTTACTGATAAGTTTTTAATGAGATTCAAGAAGGAAACTACTTTAAATTTATACTTTTTATTTAAAATGGGTCTTAAATCAATGAATTTTCATAATTTTACTGTATTTGGGAATTACACAGTATTATTGACTGCAATGTAAAGGAACTGGAACTAAGAGAAGCAAAAGTCTTAGTCACATTATAATTATGTCTGTAGAATATTACCACAATTCTTTATTTTCTTTTTGCTGGCATGAGTGGGTTTGTGTCCTGTTGGTGATATTTTTCTTTGTTTTGTAGGTTTACAGTTTTTTGGATAAAATGACATGTTACACAGAGCCATATAAGCATAAACCACACGATGTACTTTCCCATGAGGATGGGACCCGGTGGAGGAGGCAAATGCCAAAGCTGCTTTATCCTCTTGGTAAGGTGTTTTGTACTTCATTCAAATCTTGTACTTTTATTCTTAAAAATAGAAATTACAGCATTTAAAAAACACTTGGACAGGCACATGAATAGGAAAGGTTTAGAGGGATATGGGCCAAATGCAGACAAATTGGTCTAGTTTAGTTTGGGAAACTTGATCAGCATAGACAAGTGGACCGAAGGGTCTGCTTCTGTACTGTATGACTCTGATATGGATCATGGAACTGAGATCTAAAGTTTGTTGAATGAAGAAGCAAGCCTGAAGAACTGAACAGTCTAATTCTGTGATTGATGTTGTCAACTTCTTTTCCTCAATGTTTGTGGCTGGATAATTGTTAGAGCTGTGAATATAAACATTTAAGCACCTTTTGCGTATAATTGATGTTCTTTAGAATTGGAAGTGACGTTTGTAAAATTAGTTTATGTACTCGGCTAAATACTTTGATATAGCATCTTCAAGGAGGAGGGAGAGGGAATTGTAATAGAAAGGAGATCACTAGCTTGAGAATAATTTGTGATCTGAGAAGGAAGCAGAAATAAGTGAACAGCGCTGAAACCTGATGCTTCTAAATGTTGAAGTGTCCTTTTTTTCCTAAATTTAATATTTTCACTCTGGGATCCTGTTTCTCAGATAAATGATCCAGTAATACTGGATTAACCAGGTCGAGTTCATAAACGAGTAATGGCGTTATTATCCTTGATGTGCTGAGTACATTATTTCACTAATGAACTGAAATATCAGACTTTCTGAAATTTGTTTTCAAATATAGCATAAATAATGGAACTAGAATATAAGTTACAAGGAAAGCATTGGGGAAAATTTTGCCATCATTGAGCTTACGTCAGTTAAAATTGATATATGTGGAACTATATTCTAAAAGTAGACGTAACCTTTATAAACCATTATTAAAAGTAGTAACTCCCACATATAATTTGCATTTTTATCTAATCCTAGGTTCTGGTCAGGCTAATATACGCATGTCGCAGGGTACGTATGGACATGTAATTCCTGCAGGGCAGGGTTTTCTGGTACGTTGGGATTTCTCATATAGCTCCTGGACAGTGTTCACTTGTGAGATTGAGATGCTGTTACATGTCGTTTCAACAGCAGGTGAGTTTGATAGCATTTGCCTTGTGTGTGAAATATAACAACTTATTGCTGTTATACCCTGTAATTAATTTTGGAAGTAGTTAAATATTGGTGAACATCTGTGTTCAAAAGGAATAAAAAAAATCACATTCTGACATAAAATTGGAATTAATGGCCTGGATTTTGCAGTTAGTGCTAAAGCAGTGGTGTTCACTGCTGGTCTAGAAGAAAGCTGTGTGCTAAGGATCTAACGATCTCTGTGACATGGATTTCCTCTTTCTCCAGTGTTAGTTTGAATTGAATCTGGAGCCAAGTTAAGGGGATCTCCAGGTGCCCAGTATCAGTGATGTCATCAAACAGTTAAGCGGCCATTCACCTTGAGAGATTCTCTCCGCCTACAAACCAGGAAGGGAAAATGCAGTGATTGACTTCACTTCTAATTAATGTTTAGAAAGCAAGGTAAACTATTGGGTCATACTTGGGATTAAAGTAAAAGCTGAAACATGGAAAATATAGGTACATTTGGTATTCCACAAATAGAAGTTAATTTTTAGGACCAGTGAGACTGTTCAGTAATTTTGAACTTAAGTTAGTTTAATTAACTAAAAGTTCAATTACACTTTAATGTATAACTTTTAAGGGTTTTTAGAACATGACTAATAATCTAAAGGCCAAGTACTTGTCAATTCATTATTCTGGGATCTTCCAACGATGCATCCTTTAGGAAAGTGTAGCGTTATTGATTTGATACTTCTAGATTTGTGTTTAGCTGTGTGTGTGCACATACCAGAGGTTGCTATTAGTTTTAGAGGAGTGATGATCATGAAGGCTGACAACTATGGTGTAATTACTTTTGCAAAATCTGGGCCAAAATGGTTTTCAATTTCTGCCTGTTTATTACTGGTGTATAGACTGTCCTCAAGTCACGTTTCTTGATGAATTCTGTTTTCTTTAAGCATTAAATGCTCACTTTCCTGTGTTAATTGTGTAATTATAATACTGATATTTCAAATTATTTAACCATTATTGGCAGTAGTATTCAAAGCAAATTTGAAGGTGTTTTCAGGTGAAAAAACTGTAATGTTCTGTATATGTCTTCATCAAAAATTTTAACAGCTCAGTTAGATTATGTAACCATTGTACTGATTTCGCAAATCTAGACTGTTGAACCAACAAAAGCATTTGGAACTCACCTGATATCAGTTGACTTTTTGCCAATTAAATCAAATTTAGTTAATACCTTGCAAAACATAATTTATGAAACCAGATCCATGAAAATATCAATAACAAATTGTTAATTTTACCTATAGTATTATTTGACAACAGGCATTTTGTTTCTTTAACATTACATTAATTCTTAAATGGTTAACTTACAGGTGTACTTTGACAGATTTTATATATAGTGTTGTCTTATTGTACCAGATGTTCTTCTTCACTGCCAGAAGGTCAAACCGATTATTGATTTAGTACACAAAATAATCAGCACGGATTGGTCTATTACGGATTATCTGCTGCCAATCACTTCTCGTCTGTACATGTTAATCCAAAGGTAAAATATTTTTATCAGTATTTTTATGAAACTAAAAGAGTAAAATATACAATATTGTGTTTGTATGCATTTGTCAGTAAAACTGATATTGTACCACCGTACTGTTGCCTGTACATGACTGGACTTTGGGATAGGTAAACAGAAATGATTACTAAATTGGTGCAGCGTTGATGTGTTTTTCATTTTACCTAAAAACATCTTTATTCCTGAATCAAGTTTCCCATTTTGCAAAAGATGTTAACACTTTGTCATTTAGTAGCAGAGTTATTCATGCAGCACAATCATGTAGTGCTAGATTAATTACTTGTCAATTTTAATCTTTAGATTTATAATAGCAAGTGTGAATTGGTTTATGCTAATAGTTTTTCTGTTTGTTGCAGGCTTAGTTCTGTGCTAAATCCTCCAACGGATGTGATTGCTTCTTGTGTAAATACCCTAACTGTTCTGGCCACACGGATGCCAGCCAAGGTAAACTGCTGTGGACATAATGGGCAACAGTTTTGTGTTAGAGTACATACTTAAGGTCATATGGAAGCCACGGAATTTTTATTTTCTCCCATCTTTTTAGGTTTTCTCTGTGCTAATCAACTCCTGCTGGTTGAGAGAGTGGGCAGGCTAACTGTTCCCAATCCTCTGCAGTTCCAATCTTAAGATAGCTGCTCAGAAGGGCATGGATTCAGCGGAGGTTGACTCGCTCTTTTTCTTTTTACCTTCTCCTGTTCTCTTTGAGGGAAAGCTCTAAACTTCTATTTGGCAACCTCTTCCCGATACCACAGGTGAGATTAGCAACTCGCCATGTGAAGAACTGTGGGTGTGACCTCATCTCCTATGTTACAGTTTTGGTTCTTTTGCATTATTTTGTCATTCCATGACCTGATTTGTTTCTGATGCGGACACTGTCCCTTCTGATCTGAAATCTACGCCTTTTTACTTTGGCCACTGCAGTACAAGAACCTGCAAATTAACAAAAATCTCAGTTGCAATTTGGCCACTGATTTAAGGATGCCCTCATGCTATATTTCATATCATTTTAAGATGAATAGAAATTATGAAAATATAGGTCAGAGATTCAGTAAAGTGAAAATTAATTTAATCTTGACCTACAAAATACACAAAAACTAATTTATGTGCAAAACACCTATGCTTTATTGCAGCATTTCATCTGAGCTCTCTAACATTTTTTTTTCAAGATTCAGACATCATATAAGAATAAAAATGAACCAAATGTTGAAAATTAATCAGCTGAGCCTTCTTGTTTCACCAGTGTGTTATCTTGAGCTGTAACCTTCAGAAAGGGAATTTCAATGAAAAATGAGCCACACATTGAAAGCTGCTTTATAAAAGCTTTGTCAGAATCCAGCAAGAACAAAAGAATCTGCAGAAACACCTTGCTTTTATCCACTTAATTTTTGACAGAATACAGACAAATTTTGAAGATAATACCAAAAAGTGAAAATAAATCGCAGCCAATGAGACCAAATATTCGGATTTTTCACATAAGCATAACAAAGCCATACTTGAGTCAGAATTATACAATAGAAGAAAGTACTTCATAAAGCAATTTATTTGAAGTATTAATCTGTAGGTATTGTACTATTAATTAATGACTTAGATTTTAAGAAATACGGTTTTTAAATTGTATTGCAGTCTTAAAACACTTTGCTTCGTTTGAGTGCATTCTTTGGTTAAATGCAGTTTATCTATTACATTGTATACCTAACAAATGAACTGTATTAACTTCTGTTCTCTACTTAGGTATGGGCAGATCTACAGCATACAGGCTTTTTACCATACTCTGTGACACAAGTCACTGGGATTGCTCAATCCCTCAGGTATTGGATTATAAATTCTGCTACAAAGTCTAAGTGTAGGATCCAGATTACTTCAGAGTAATGACTGAATTAATTTTTGTAACTGTTAATTTCTTTGAATAAGGAAGGAAAGTAAGGAAATTCAAGCTTCCAGTTAAAACTGAAAGGATGACACGAGATTTCATGTTTTATGCCTTTTTATTGCAGTAATCAAACTAAAAACACTATTCACTTAATAATAATTCTGAAGGCAGCTAATACTTTAAATTACAGACCAAACGGCTACCTTTGCACAACTCAAGAAACCCCTTCATAGGTAAACTTCGCACTATCTCTAAGTAGTCTTTTGATTTTTCCCAGATCTAATGAAATGATTTTTAGTTCGATTCCTTATGACCTCAACCTTGTAACTTTTAACCCTACCACTGATCTTTATGGTGAGTATTTTCCATGCAGCTTCACTCCATGGGTAAGGTTAGATGAATCTTCCCATATTGTTCCAAATGTTCGTGATTTTGATCTTGTCAATTATAGTGTGAGTTACCATTACATTCTTGCACAGTGAACAGAAACTTTTAGCCTTTTCAGTTACTCCACCTGAATTCGGGCACACAGATCTCCTGAAGTTCAAAGCTATCTTTTAGAAACTGTTTTGTTTTTTAACCAAATGGATTTGTCAGTCCTTTGAAAGCCCATCTTAATGGCAACATGAATCATGTGCGCCTTGAATCCAGGCAGAAATACTGATTAGCTATTTTTCAGCTGAACTGTCTTGGGACTAAATGGACAGTTTAAAGCATAAATATTTAAAACCCGACACTCTCAACATCTTGCTGGGAATATAGAGACTACCATTCTGACCACAGTAGGCATGGATGGTGCTGTTGTTGTCATCAAGTGTGAACACTACGTGCCTGCTTTCCAACAAAACAATCTGGGTCCTCAATCTTTAACAGCTATATCACTTAGACCTGTTGGCAGGGCAACATTCAGGATAAGGCACATAACTCCTTTTTGTTTTTTACTTAATTATTTGCAGTGCACAGTCGTCTTCTCCATCCTTGCAGCTAACAAATTCTCTTACGATCAGTAATGTCATCTTTGCATGCCGATCTTGTATAGTTTTAAACTGAAATTTACTGCTGACTGGGAAAAATGTTTCATTAGTTCCAGTATTTACAAAATATTTAAAAATAACTTAAAAACCCTCATTATTTCCATGTTAGATCAATTGTTTGTTTTAAATTTAAGGTTGGTAACTTTTTATTAGCTAAAGCTATTAAATGTTGCAAGCAGATCCTGGGCGAACTTCCTCAATTCATTGTGGTTCCAGACACGATCCCCCAAAATGTTAAGTTCCTGGATGAGGATGGAATAACTGGCTCCCTTTTTTTTAGTTCACCCTAACTCTTAGATTAGTTGAAACAAGATTAATTTTGAAACAATCCCTTCCCTTTCTACCACTCTCCCAGAACCAAATGGCCCTTTGTTTTATATGAAGCCAATATAACTAGGTGTTTATTAATTACTACACGCAAAAAGAAATACTAAAGCAGCATTTATACATGTGGATTAGAAGTGAGATGAACCCAAAGAGTTACAAATAAAAGTTAACATGGATTAGTGTAAATATTTTGTGAAGAGCACATTGGGTTGCACTGGTAGTGTTGCTTTTAGCAGTTGAACAGGTGATTTTCGAGATTCTTGGTTTTGTAGCCTGATGGAAAGTCCTTTGTCCTGATTGCTTTTTTAAATCTGCATTGCAGCATTCTTAGTGAAAGGTCTTTGCTTGCTTCACAGGTATAACTAGGGGGTAGTTCTTTTGACTATGACAGTTACAGCAAACTAACGCATAAATCCAGGCTGGTACTCATTAGAGCATTCAATTCCACTAGGTTCGTTTCAAAGTAATGTTGGTGTATGAGAGGATCAAGTCGCAACTATCATTGGCTGGAGATTGTCTTGGATAATGTAGACACCATTAGAGATGTGTACAAGCTTGATTTCTTAAAGCACTGAACTAATTGTGCATGAAGGAAGAAACTTCAGAAATAAAGGTTACATGGAAACCCCTTTGTTTTACTACAGTTGTTCTCTTGGAGCCATCTATCCTTTTCCCCCCACCCCCAAAAAAAATTGAACAAACTTTATTTGTAGTCCATTGAAATATGTTGAATTATCATGTGCAGCTTAGTTTCATTTTTGTTGAAAATTTCTTCTAGTATGGGTGATGGCTGTGTGCTGGCTTTGGAGATTTGCACCAAACTTTGCATTGTCTCTCCTCTGACTTTTGTCTTGATTCTAAATGCCCCTTTCTTTCACCTCATTCTAATGGGGTTTTAAAATGTTTTCTGTCCCTCATTCGTTTTGCTTTTCTACTGTCCTCATGGGGGCAACTGATAAATTTTACATTCAGCAGGGCATGTCAAATGGAATTGGTTCCTACTAGCACATTGACTGTTGACACTGCAGCTTTCTCTAAATTATTTCCGAGAAAGATTGCTTCGCTGAATTGAATTTTGTTGTAATATTTTTTGGGGAAACTGGACATACAACAATCAACATTTATTTCTTGAAGGGCTGAAGGAATGCAAGCTGGTAGTTATGGTAACCTGCTGCTGAGCATTGAGAGACCTCAGGGCGAGTATAGTGTCACAATGGCCTTTCTCCGACTGGTCACAACGCTTGTCAAGGTAAAGCTTCTGCTTGGATGCCTGTGTTTAAATTGTTTTGTTTTTTTGTCATGGCAATTAAGTAATCTCTATAAACCAAGCTGTATTGGAGATATCAAGAAGACTTTTTATTAGTTTATGATAAGTTAGAATGTTTTTCACTGTTGCCCCGAACCACGACTCGGATGATCACTTTAAATTATTTCAAAATCATTGTGATTTATTTCCCGGGTCTGTCATCTTTTCAATCTGAATCCCAGAATTCAATCCATGCACTCAAGGGAAGATGGAGAGAATTGAAAACTTAAAACAGTGTTTCATGCAAAATATACTGCTGCAATTGGTTCACATAACCTTATTGTATGTAATCTGACGCAAGTTTTTGTTTTAATCACCATTACTGTTCTTTGCTCCTTTTTCACTTGGATAGTGAAAATTGTTTTTGACATAACCAAAAACATCCAGTAATTCAGAAGGCAGCATGTGCATAGAGCAATGTTTGAAGCATTTGCGATGTCTTAAGTCTCTGAATACTGCAGTCTGTTGGATCAAAAATTAGGATATTTAATAGATCAGTGGATCGATTGATTCTATAGGTTCCTGTTAGAGAGCTTGGAACTCAAGTGCAGTATTTTTATTACTAGTGTTAATAGGCGAAGTACACTTAAGTGATGGTATCGGTTATTTTTGACTGGATCGTGAGTTGTCCAAACTAAAGTTTAAATAGTTCAAAACTGAAATTTTGCTTGCTGTCTGATTGGAAATTGGTAAGTTGCGTACAGTAATGGTAATTACCTGAATCAGGTATCTAAGATTGCCCTTGCAGCTTTTGAATTTAGTTTGATTCTCAGTTCTATAGCTCGACTTTTGGCTGAGCACATGCAGTTCTATTGCTGTGTTCAGACATGACCCGTGTGTGCTTGAGTGGAAATTTCATGAAGCAAGCAAATATATTATTAAAATTCAAGTTGAAAAGTATTGGTGAGAAACTCATGGTGTTTATACTTGGATCTGCTGAATTATTCTCTTGCATAATCCTTCTCACAGTAAACTGAAGTAATTATTGACGTGAATCATTCGTTTGTCAGTAGTTTACAAGATCAGGGCTATGTGATGATATCTCCAGTCGTTTTCAGTGCATACTGCAATTGGTACAAGGGTTGGTGCTGTTGCTCAGCATGCTATTCCATATATCTGATTAATCCAGTCAAAATAGGGGATTGTAGAAAAGTGAGTTGGGTAATGCATCAACAAATGAAAATTAGAACTGCTTTGCATGTTATAAAAAACACAGCAAAATTAATGCCACTGCTGGAACTACTAGGATAATCTGCAGTACCCTCCATTCTTCTTAACTAACTTTATGGGTTGTACATATTAAATATCACTTTTTTTTAAAAAGTGGCATGCTATTGGAAAAATGTTGCTTAAAATCATAAGGTAGCATTCATGGTCTTAGCCTTTTTCTTGGTTCTATGTTATTAGTATCTTGTTTTGCATTTGGCAGTACTGTAGTACAGTTAAATCTAGACAATCAATTTAATGTGTGCTTTTCACATGCCATTTTGTTTTTGTACTTTCTAACAGGGGCAGCTGGGGAGTACTCAGAGTCGAGGTCTTCTGCCTTGTGTGGTCTTTGTCTTAAAAGAGTTACTGCCAACTTACCATAAATGGCGCTACAATATCTATGGCATACGAGAGGAAATTGGTAAAGATTCTTGCACAAATGATGTAAACCTAATCTTCAATTAGAGTCATAAACATACAGCATGAAAACAGACCCTCTGTTTAATCAGTCCAAGCCAACCATATTCTCAAACTAAACTAGTCCCACTTGCCTGTGTGTACTGATCTGAATGTCTTTTAAAGGTTGTAACTGTACCTGCATCCACCACTTCCTCTGGTAATTTATTCCACATGCTAACCATTGAGTTTTTACAAAAAAAAGTTGCCCCTCATCCTTTTTAAATCTTTCTGTCACCTTGAAAAGTGCCCACTAGGTTTGAACTCCCCCAACTTAGGGAAAAGACCTTTGCTATTCACCTTATCTATGACAGTCATGAGTTTATAAACCTCAGTAAGGTCATCACTCAACCTCCTACGCTCCAGGGAATATAGCCCCAGCCTATTTTTATAACTCAAATCCTCCTTTCCTGGCAAAGTCCTGATAAATCTTTTCTTAACCCTAGCCAATTTAATAATATCCTGCCTAGAACAGGGCGACCAGAACTGGACAAAGTACTCCAGAAGAGGCCTAGTTAACGTCATGTTGGCGATATACAAGATGTCTCAACTCTGATACTTAAAGGTCTGAGCAATGAAGGCAAGCATGTTAAATGCCTTCTTAATGGCCCTGTCTACCTGTGACTCAAATTAACAAAGAATTATGTACCATCACCCCTCAGTCTCTGTTTGACAACACTGCTCAGGGCCCTCCCCTTAATTGTGTAAGTCCTGTCCTAGTTTGTATTGCCAAAATGCATACCATTGTATTTATCCAAATTAAACTCCATCTGCCACTCCTGAGCCCATTGACCCAATTGATCAAGATCTGTTGGTAATTTTAGATAACTTTCTTACTGTCCACTATACCACCAATTTTGGTGTCATCTGCAAACTTACAAACCATGCTTCCATTCTCATTGATGTCATTTATATAACTGACAAACAAAAGTGGATCCAGGTGGTCACAGGCCTCCAGTCCAAAAAACAACACTCTACCACAACCTGAGATAGTAGGAACTGCCGATGCTGGAGAATGAGATAACCAGGTGTAGAGCTGGCTGAATACAGCAGGTCAAGCAGCATCAGAGGAACAGGACCCGACATTTCGGGTCTGGACCCTTCAGAAATGGTCTTTCTTCAGAAATTTCTGAAGAAGGGTCCAGACCCGAAACGTCAGCTTTCCTGTTCCTCTGCTGCTTGGCCTGCTGTGTTCATCCAGCTCTACACCTTGTTACCTCTACCACCACCTTCTGTCTCCTACCACACAGTCAATTTGGTATCCACTTGGTGAGCTCTCCTTGAATCCCATGTGATCTAACTTTATTAATTAATCTACCATGCAAAACCTTGTTAAAGACCATGTACGCAACATCTACCACTCTGCCCTCATCAATCTTTTTGGTTACTTTCTCAACAACAATCAACTTTGTAAGATTTGCTTTCCTTTGCACAAAATCATGCTGACTATCCCTAATCGTTCCTTGCCTCTCCAAATGCATGTAAATCCTATCTTTCAGAATCACCTCCACCATTATACCCAACATTGATGTCAGATTCAGGTCTATAGATCCCAGGCTTCTCCTTACAGCCTTTCTTAAATGCATAAACATTAGCCACCCTCTAGTCCTCCAGCAACTCACCTGTGGTTATGGATGGTACAAATTAGGACAAAAGATTTGTATAACACCTTCATGTGTTGCTTAAACTTTCAATACACTTCGTATACAAAGAATTCAATTCTGTAATTATTGTTTAAGTAAACACAATTGCCATTTTGGTACTCAACAAGCTTCCATTTAATGATTGTGATATGTTTTTGGCAGTGGTAAATTGGGCAGGAATGTCAATCAGAAAACCAGGAGAACAATTACATATAATGACATGAATGTTTCAATGATGTCTTGAGCCAGTTGAGCAGTCAAGCAAAGCCGCTTTCCAGTATCTCTGGTTTCTTTGTATGAAGGCATTACATTGTCAATGTTGTCAGATTAAAGCATAACATTTTTGATGAGTGTAAATACTGCTATTTGAGAATACTTTTTATTACCTATTTAATCGACTAGTACCTAAAAGTATTTGTGTATGCATTACCATAGCTACAACAGTATTCAAGCTGTCCAAATAGCAAGCATTATTGGATAAGAGAGATTTGCGATGTTAGTGCTTTTTCAGGGAATAGTCTCCAAGTTTGTAAAACCCTGGAGTTGGAAATGATTTGGTTGTCAAGAGACTTGCATAAATTGTTCGCAGCAAACAACTGTGCTCTAATATAATTTTAATGATATGTAAGTTGTATTCAAAAAAACTACTTTAAGACCTAATTTCACAATTGTGTCTTCTGATGTTTCATATCAATAATTTTTAACTGCAGCATATTATAGCCCTGTAATGAGGCTTGCTTGCAATTCCATGCTTTGGCTCCTGTATGGAAACACCCATTAAGAGAATCGCTTCCATTGGTGAACCTTTCAAATTTTCATTTCTTCAGGCAACAGTGTGTTTGGAACAATTGTCCAATACTTTCACTATCTGAAATGGCATCACATTGTTCAATTAGCTAATTTAGTTCAGGCAAAATGTACAAATGGGCTTGATACTAACAATATGAGAATAGGCAATATTAAATTTGAGCACAGCTTGTGCCACTTCTTTGAATTTTTTTAAAAATTTGAGTCTGCTTCCAAACCCTTTGGCCAGAATCTTGCCCGGAGTCCGAAAGTTTGTGTTTCCAGGAGCAAAACCATGGTTTACTAAGGTGAGAGAGCCTGCCAAATCTTTCAGCAATCAGGCAGCTAATTGGCTGTTGGCAGACTTCCTGCTGAACTTAGGACCCCAGACCAGAAAGTCCTGGCTGCTAACAGTAGTCAGCCAGTCAGACTGGTACATTGTAACACTGCCAGCAGAATACCCTCTGAGCCTTAAGGGCATGTAATTACCTACTGGAAAGGTAACTGTGTCTTTGGGGTGTTGGTCAGTGGGAGAAGGAAGCAGTGGCAGAAGGATGGCTCTCAGCCAAACCGTAGCCCTCAGTCCAGTTCCTTGATCCTGTGTAGATTAGTGCAAATTGAAGACTCTGTCCCACTGACTCTCGGCCTGCCAATATCTGATAACAAATAGAGTAGGCTGACTTTGCTTCTTAAAAAAAAAAATAAACTATGGATACTGGAAATCCTAAACAAAGACATAAATTGCTGGAGAACTAGCAGCATCTGCGAATAGAAAACAGTTACGTTTTGGGAACCAAAAACAGAAATTGCTGGAAAAGCTCAGCAGGTCTGGCAGCATCTATGGAGAAGAATCAGAGTTAATGTTTCAAGTCGAGTGACCCTTCATCAGAACTGGTTTTCAACATTTCGGGTCCAGTTTCTCCAGCAGTTAGTTTTTGTTCAGTAGTTTGTCCTTCTCTTCCTCCCACCTGGAGCTGAAATAGTTGCATCCCAGATGGGATGAGCCCTTAAGTGGTCATTAATTTTGGTCTACCACTGTTCTCCTTGATTGAAACCACTTCATGCCTGCCACTTCTGTGTCTGGTAGTTTGCACTGTCTCAATGAGGTTCATTGAGACTTGTTAATACACTCCTTACTCCCAGGCACTGTTCTAGTTCAAAATGTACCTCACGTTGCTTTATATTGAAAGTGCACTAAGTTGATCTTTCAGAAATGCAAGGGTTTGAGAAAATTCCAAAATCTTTGTCTCGTCGAAATCTATTGTAATTGTGCACCCAAAGTGAGGAAATACATATGGGACTCCCAGTCTCCAGTCGAGCATGGCAACTCTTTGCAGCTGCAAACCTCTGTGAACCTTCTTATTTTTTTGTCATAGGTGGAGGCTGTTTTGTTGTAGACAAGTTAAGTATTAGAAATTATGAATGAAATGATATTAATTTCTAGTTCTTTCTATTTTTAAAATTTGTCATTATTTAAGATGAGCAACATATGTGTAAGTACAAACCTGCATGATGCAATTTTATTGTGTTTGTAATTTCATGTTTTTCGATTGATATCGTAGGTTGCCTAATTTTTGAACTTATTTATACCATCCTGCATCTGAATCCAGCAGAGGAATCACAAGGCAGGTATGTTGCAAGGATGCAATTTTGTAATCTTGTGTTTTTGAGGTAAGCTGATGAGAAGAAGGCAATTCTATTACACAAAGCTTAACTTTTTCCTTTCCTCCATTTAGTAGCTCACTCAGTCTTCAGTCTTTGTGCACGCATTGTTTGGCAAACACAGAAGCAGGGCAAGCCATCATAAATATTATGGCTGTTGGGGTGGACACCATTGATGCAGTAATGGCAGCACAGCCTAACAGGTAAGTTGTAACACAGAATTTGGTTAGGCAAGGTGTAGTTTATATCAAACTACTGTAGACTTTTAACAGTGACAAAACTGTCTTGATTGTAACTAGATAACTTCATACTGCTTAATACAAAATACATGTGTTTACAAAACTTTGTTTAAAAAAAAACTTTTGTATATGAAGGGTATTGTACAATTAATTGATATAGAAAAACATGCTAAACTTCGAATCTGCTATAAGCAGATAATTATTTAAATTTGTTTTTGTGCCTAAATTTTAATATGCCATGTATTTATAGAATAAATAATCTTGTCAAAGGTTATGGGGACAAAGCAGGATTAGGCTATTGAGTTGGACGATCAGCCATGATCATAAAGAATGGTGGAGCAGGCTCAAAGGGCCGAATGGCTGCTTCCTCTTCCTATCTTCTATGTTTTTATGTTTTACCTATTCCAATTTCTAATAGCCTCATGTACCATAAATGACACACGAATATCTCTGCAGAGAAATATATTTTCTCTTTTTCCCTCAGCAGTGATTAGTATCTATTTTGCCAAGATACAATGTTTAGTTGTACAGTTCTGTCTTTTGCAGTTATTTTTGTTTCACTGAATGAAGTTACAATATTTTAGTGCTAAATGAGAGACCTTTTTGTGTTATGAAGTGATGCTCGCTGGCACCTTTGTTGAAACTACCCAAACTTGTTTCACATGAGTCTTATTTTTGACCAAGGGGAGAAATGTGTATTACAGCTATTGCTGTGTCTTTGGTTACTAAAAAGGAACGCATGAGATCAAAACATTACAAATAATGTAAAAAGCAGGACTTTGTGCGCGTGTTGGAAGAGGTTTTATAGTGGGGAAGCTGTTCTTACTGGAAGTGCTTCACCAAATGCTAGATATAGAGGATTTAGGTTGGGCGAGGAAAAGATTTTTTTTAAAAAGAGGAAAACGGCAAAAACCTATAAATGCATTTGAGCAAAACCAAGGTATTCATCATTAATAACTTCCATTTAACAAGAGCATTGACAGCATGGGAGATGTCAAAGCACTTTAGAGCCATGATAGTGTTTTGATTGTAGTAATGGTTCTGACCTAGGAAATGCAGTGGCTAATTTGCATGCAGTAAGTTCTGACAGACAGCAAATTGTAAATGTCCAGATAATCTTTTTAGTGTGATGTTAAATGAGGGTTAGCCAAGTGTCTGGAGACAACTCTCCTCTAATTTGAGATACTGCCATGGGCTATTTTATTTTGGGCAGAAGGCAGAGGGATCCTCTGATTAATGTCTGATCTGAAAAATAGCATCTCGGACAGAGCAACATTTCCTCAATAGACCAGTGAAGTGTCAGCTTTGATAACTTTAAATGGTGTGAGAGTAATTATATTTTATGAATTGAAAAATAGACGCCGCTTATGCTATAATGTTATTTGGTCAAACTGATTTGCCTTTGCTGCTGAAATAAGACAGGATTTGGCCAAAGTAAACTGGGAACAGTTGCCTCTGGGTAAATCCGCAGTGGCAGGGGTGATCAAAACAGAATTGCTGAGAATGCAGGCCAACATGGTCCCTTTAGGATAGGATGTGGGAACAACAAGCCCAAAGAACCATGGATTCCTAGCAATATTTAAGACTAGATAAGGAAAAGAGAGGCTTTCAATTGATACAAAAGGAGCAAATCCATGGAGTCCCTAAAGTACAGAAAGGGCAAGGGTGAACTTGGGAATGTAATTAAGAAAGCAGAGGCGGCATGAAAAATGCTGATGGTTAAGATTAGGGGGAAAAGCCTAGTATGTTCTAAGTGTATTAAAGGGAAAAAGATAACCAGAGAAAGAGTAGGGCCCATGAGGAACTAAGAGGCATTCTGTATGGAGCTGGAGAATATTAGTAGGGTGCTAAACAAGTACTTCATATTTATCTTCACTTCGAAAGAGAAGGATGTAAGCACAGAATTCAAGAGGAGATACCGTGAGGTTCTTGAGCAGTTTGACATTAGAGAATGAGGAGGTATTGGAGGTTTTAGTGGACACATCCCCAGGTCTGGATGAGTTTATCCCAGATTGCTGTGATGGATGAGGGAAGAAATTACAGGGACTTTGACCCAAAATTTTAATTCCTCCTACAAGAGAGGTGCCAGAAGACTGGAGGGCAACTAAGATGGTTCCAATTTTCAAGAAACGTGGTAACAATTATACCAGAGAATTAAAGACCAGTGAGTCTCACATTGTAGGTTAACTCCTGGAGAAAATTCTGAGGGAGAGAAATGATCTCCACTTGGAGAGACAAGGTTTGTTCAGAATAGTCAGCATAGCTTTGTCAGAGGATAATTATGCCTAACAAATCTGATTGAATGTTTCAAGTAGCTGACCAGTTATGTAGATGAGGGTGGTGCACTTGAGCTATTTTCGATGGATTTCAGCAAAGCCTTTGACAAGGTCTCACGTGGGACGCTGATAAAGAAAGTAAAAGCACTTGGGATTCAGGGTAACTTGGCAAGTTGGCTTAGTAGCAGGAGATGGAAGGTGGTGGTAGAAGCTGTTTGAGAGACTAGAGTCCAGTGGCCGTAGCACAGGGATCAATGCTGGATCCCTTCATTGTTCATGATGTATAGAAGAAAATGTTGGCTGGAGATAGTAAGTATTTAGGTAGTTGACAGTGAGGAAGAAGGTCTTGGATTATACAAGAATATAGATGGGATTGGTTTGGTAGGCAGATCAGGGCAGGTGAAATTTAACCCTGATAAGTGTGAGGTGATGGACTTTGGAAGAAGTAACAAGACCAGAGAGTACTCGGAATGGCAGAACTAGGATGCTCAGAGGAAAAGAGGGATCTTAGGGTCCTGAAGTCAGCAGGACAGATTATTAGTGTGGTTAAGATGGAATATGGGACACTTGCCTTTATCATTTACGGCATAGATTATAAGAGCTGGGAGGTTATGTTGGAACTGTACAGGACTCTGGGTAGGCCACAGCTGGAGTACTGTGTGCAGTTCTAGTTACCACATTGTAAGAAAGACATGATTGCACTGGAGGGGTACAGAGGAGATTCACCAGGATAATGCCTAGGATGGAGTAGTTTAGCTATGAAGAGAATCTGGATAAGCTTGGGTTGTTTTCTTTAGAGCTGAGAAAACTGAGGGACCTGATTGAGGATCATTGACAGGGTGGATGGTAAGTAGTTGTTCCCCTTAGTTGAAATTGAACAGAGGTCATAGTCTTAAAATGAAAAGCCGAAGGTTTAATGAGGATTTGAAGAATATTTTTAAGTTGAGAGGGTGGTGAGAATCTGGAATGCAGTGCCTTGGGGAGGTAGTTGAATTGGGAAACCTCCAGTATCTGGATAAACACGATTAATATCATGTTCAAATCTAATGGCCCAAGTGTTAGCAAGTGAGACTAGTATAAGTTTAAGATTACAGACTTGTGTGTACAGACTTTAGTGCAGACTTGATGGGTTTAAGGACCTTTTCTGTGCTGTATATTTTTCTGATGCAATTAGATAAATTCTGAGGATTTTGTAAATATGAAACTTGCCTTATCTATCATGTTGAGTACTTGTGCACCTACCTGTTTTGATAATTTAGAAATACAAATTTTATCCAGTTTTCTTTTTTTTTTTTCTTTTTCTCCTCAATGCAGCTGTGGATCTGAAGGATCAGGCCAGACACTCATTCAGACTATCAAGTTAGCATTTTCTATAACTAACAATGTCATCAAACTGAAACCATCATCAGAAGTAGTTTCGCCATTGGAGCAGGCCCTAACACAACATGGTATGTAGTAACTGGGATGCAATGAATAATTAGAGATAGCATTTGAGAACAGGATGGAATAGTTACTACTGTAAATGTTATGCAGTGAATTTTAACTGGTAGTGTATTATTACAACATAACGGGTATCATTTACTGAAGTAATAATTCCAAGGAGGTGTTAAATGACACATATAGCGATAACATGGAGTAGAGCTGGAGGAACACAGCAGGTCAGGCAGCATCAGAGGAGCAGGAAATCTGATGTTTCGGGTCGGGACCCTTCTTCAGAACTACCACCTCCTGAAGAATGGTCCCGACCGAAACATCAGCTTTCCCGCTCTTCTGATGCTGCCTGGCCTGCTGTGTTCCTCCAGCTCCACATTGTGTTATCTCTGACTCCAGCATTGGCAGTTCTTACTATCTCTGATTAAATGACACATTTTGGGTTTACAGAAAGAAAGACTGAAGTTAGCCACTTGCAAACTAGAAAAAACCAGAAATGAAGTTTATCTGGCTGTGTATGTGTTAATTGTACCTCAACTTTGTTCAATTCTTTAGAGTTGGAGGGCATTAACTGAGCACATAGAGGCACTTACTGAAACAGTGGTATAGCTCAGTTAAGGGGTGTACACTTGTAATGTTTTGCTTTGTGAATAAAAGTTAAACTGAGTAAAGATTGCCTTTAGAATTATTCTTCAACTGTCTGTCCAGATTAAAACAGTATGTATTCCTCTGGTCATAGTCACTCTGATTTGAAATGCACAAACTACTTCTGAATCTGGTGGGATTATTGAATATAGTTTGTCCAGACAAATGTTATCTATGTTCTGAAGAAGAGTGCTATTAGACCTGAAACGTTAACTCTGTTTCTCTCTGCAGATATTGTCAGACTGCTGAGTTTCTCCAATTGTTTGTTCTTGATTTTGATTTCTGTTAACCCTACACTGCCTCCATTGAATGTGGTCTCTGCTTTGGAGCAATGAGTGTAAATCAGTTTATATTAATTATATGTTCTGTTACTTCAGTTAGATAGTTTTGCCATTTTCCATGCTATTTTTCAAGCTGGGTGAGGAACATTGCTTTTTCAAGTAGAGATAGACAAGTTTAAGTTTGTAAAAACAAATCTGGAAGGCAAAGACAAATGATAAAGACTCTGTCCGTTCCTTTGGGCAGACTGTGATGATGTAGAGGGAAATAGAAGGATTGTCCACAAAGTGGACATGAATAGACTTGGTCTCAGTAGTGACACGTCACTTATCACTTGCTCTTCACTCCCACCTAATCATCACTGACTTCTGAAAAATTAACAAATAGCAAAACTTTTGCTGTATCTTCTGTTAAGTCTGGTGGTATCAAATTGATATTTGGAAATAAGTTCTTGCAGCCCGGATAATACTAAACTTGTTTTGCTTTGGTTTTGGTTTAATTTTACACTTGTGTTAACTATTTCAGGTACCCATGGCAATAACTTAATAGCAGTTTTGGCAAAGTACATATACCACAGGCATGATCCTGCATTGCCGCGCCTTGCTATCCAGCTCCTGAAGAGACTTGCAATGGTAGGTTATGTTTTAAAGTTCCTGCGTCCTATAACATGTAGGAGTAGAAGTCAGTCGTATGGCCCATCTGGTCTGTTCTGTTACTGTGTGATCATGGCTGATCTGATAATCCTCAAGTCTGCTTTCTTGCCTTATCACATACCTCTTGATTCCCTTACTGATTAAAAATGTGTCTATCTCAGCCTTGAATATACCCAATGACTCAGCCTTGCCAGCTGTCTGTGGTTAAGGAGTCTACAGGTTGATTACCCTTGGAGAATATGGGGAAGGGGTTAAGTACCATTATTATCACTGTAGAAGTGATTTTCGACAAACTAATGGGGCTAAAGACAGAAGTCCCCTGGCCCTGATAGCTAGTATCCTAGGATCCTAAAAAAAAAACAGCAAGAGATAGTGGATGTAATGGTTGTAATTTTCCAAAAATAGTCAGCTGCTGGCGAAGTACTAGAGGATTGGAAAACTGTTAATGTCATCGCTCTTCAAACAGGAAGGGATGCAAAAAGCAGGTCGATTAGCCGAATATCTGCTTGTTGGAAAAGTACAGGAATCAATCATTAAGGAAGTAATAGCAGAATATTTGGAAAATCATAGTATCTGACTCGAGTTTTTTGTGCAAGTCTCAATTTGATTAGATAGAGGGGAGCCAGTAGATGTGTTGTACTTGGACTTCCAGAAGACATTTGACCAGATACCCCTCAAAATGTAAAGTCATAAGATTAGAGCCCGTTATATTGGAGATAGTGTGCTGATGTGGATAGAGAATTGGCTCGTAGGGATACAGGATTCTTTTTTAGGTTGGCAACCTGTGACCAGTGGGATTCCACAGGGATCAGTGCTGGGCCCACAACTGTTCACCATATATTTTAATACATTGGAAGAAAGCGAATGTACTGTAGTCAAGTTTGCACATGATACTAAAATAGATGGAAAGATGGGTTGTCTGAAGGATACAAACAGTTTACAGAGCGATATTGATAGGCTAAGTAAGTGGACAAAAAGTTGGTAAATGGAGTATAATGCAGGAAAATGTGAAGTTCTTCATTTTGGAAGGGAGAAGAAAAGAACGGTATTAAATTGAGAGAAACTGCAAAAAGCTACCTCTCAAAGGGACATGGGGAGCTTGTGTATGAAACACAAAGCAAGCACACAAGTGCAGCATGTAATCAGGGAAGCTAAGGAGTATTGGGCCTTATTTCAAGGGGCTTGAGAGTATGAGAGTAGGGAAAACTGTACAAGATGCTGGTGAGACCACAACTGGAGTACTGAGAGCAGTTGTAATCTCTTCGTTTTAAGGAAGCTTATTGTTTCCTTGGAGGCAATTCAGAGAAGGTTGACTAGGATGATCACTGGTATGGAAAGTGTGTCTTATTAGCAAGGGCTAAACAGGTTAGGACTCTACTCGCTGGAGTTTTGAAGAATGAGGTGATATCATTGAAATAGGATTCTTAAGGGGCTTGACAGTGTAAATGCTGAGAGGATGCTTCCCCTTATGGGTGAGTCTAGGGCCAGAAGGCACAGTCTCAGAATAAAAGGATGCCAATATAAGACTGAGAAGCGGAGGAATTTCTTCTGAGGGGTGAGTGTCTTTGGTATTCCCTGCAACAGAGTTGTGGGGGCAGAGTCCTTGTAATATATTAATGGCTGAGATACGTTCTTGAACAGAGAATCAAGAGTTATAACCAACAGGCTAGAAAGTGGATGCAAGGAATGTTGGATCAACTGTGATCCTATTGAATGGAGGAGCAGGCTTGAGGGGCCGAATGCCTTACTGTAATGGTTTTATGGTGTAGACAGTTGCTTCAAGCTGTGTTCAAATTATGTGATTGAGATTTGGCATTTCTGAAAGGCTAGATAATGTTTCATCATCACTCCCCAACATCCTCCATTCTGCTTTCGACCAGTTGATAACTAATTTCTGAACATTGAGAGGATTGAAGGAATGAGTGGGGAGCTAGATATGATGAAAAGGGGAGGAATGCATGAATAGTGTGGAAGGTCTGTTTACAGTTCCTTTGTCTGCTTCTATTACCCCAGTGTGTTTGATTAGATGTTATCTTGCGAACCACTCCAAGTTGTTTTAGTCCTCTTTAACAAAGTGTTGAGAGTTTAGATTTTGAGACTGAAGGAGAATAGGTGGCGACAAAACAATTTGGAGGCAGGTAAGTTAAAACAAGTACTCCACAAAAGGAATGTGAATTTTTGCATTGAAACATTTCTTAATTATTTTCCAGGTGGCCCCGATGTCAGTGTATGCCTGCCTTGGAAGTGATGCTGCAGCAATACGTGATGCATTTCTTAATAGACTGCAGAGCAAGACAGAGGTTCCTGCTTTATTTCACAAGATGTTAATGCTAGTGTTTTATGCTACTGACTCTGATACAAGCAAATATATGATGCACATGGCGCAGTTAGCATTCTGAAAGGAAGCTTAACGATGAGAACTGTGCGAGCGTGTTCTTCCAGGTGTTTAAACAGTTTTTTAAAAATAAATTTCTGTGATTTAGGACATGCGGATTAAGGTGATGATCCTGGAGTTTTTAACAGTTGCTGTGGAGACGCAGCCTGGTTTGATTGAGCTCTTCCTCAACTTGGAAGTGAAAGATAATGCAGTTGGGTCAAAGGTGAGAAATAAAGACCAGTCTGTCTGTTGAGGGCTAATCTCCCAGTTGAACAAAAAGCTGAACAGTGTCCGTTTCTAATTTTCAGTTAAGTCAGTTTTATGGCATATGTTCACAGGAGTTTATCCTGGGGGAGTGGAGCTGTCTGCAAGTGATACTGGAATTCATCGACTCCAAGCAACAAGGAAAATATTGGTGTCCTCCTCTAATCCATCGTGCTGCCATTGCTTTTTTGCATGCACTGTGGCAGGATCGTAGGGACAGTGCGATGACCGTTTTGAGAGCCAAGTATGTTTGTTTTTTTTTCTATAATTGCAAAGTATTTATTGCTTTATTCACAGCCTTGTATCCATATTTTTGTCCCCACAGCAGCTGTTTCTTAAAATTATCCATGGCTAGAATCCAGATAATATCTAGAATTAGTTGCGTTAATCAGAAAGCTGTTGGATTGTGATACAACTTGTTTTCTTGGGAACGAACAAAATAGTCCTTGTAACTGAGATTTGCATTCTAGCTGGCTATAAGTAAGCTCTTGTCAAACAGGAAAGGTGTTTTGCTGTAATAGGGTTAATAGTCATGAGTTATACTGTGATAATTTTTTCTGCTAGGAAAGTAGAATTGTCTGCACTTTACTGCAGATTAATCTAATCTACTCTAGATTGGATTTTTTACTTAATGGGCTGATAGAACTGCTGGCAAGGCCAGAATTTATTGCCCATTTTCAATTACAATTGAGAAGTTGGAGGAAAAGTTGCACTCTTGATGGTGCTCCCACAATCCTGTTAGGGAAGGAGGTCAGGACTTTGTACTAGCGATGATGAAGGAACGGTGATCTATTTCTGATGGGTGGTGTTATGCCCATGTACTTGCTTCCCCAGTGTTGGTATTTACCATTTGTTATGCAATGAGAAAAGGCTAATTTCTTTTGGTTTAAAAAAAAATTCTTTATGGAAGAGTGACCATATTATGATGGGCTTTTCTATTAAGATTGAATGTAATGAATTTCGATCTAAATCAGAGGTAACTAACTATGAGGGGAAATTTGATTGATTGGGGTAATACCTTTTGAAGATCTGATGGTATACAGGTGATGGCTAATAATTCAAAAGGTAATGAGTGGTTTACAACAAGCATGCGTTCCTTAAAGGCACAAAACCCAACAGGAGTTGAGGCAACAGTAACAAACAAAGAATATTAAAACTGGTGTTAGGTCAAAGGAGAAGACTTGTTTGCTTGTTGTATAATGATCCCAACTGATGGCCGTACTGGACAAACCAGACCCCAGAGTGAAACTTGGCTTGATAGAAGATAAGGTTTATTGTTGCAACTTGGTTACTGTGGTCATTGATAGCCTCTTTTAAATATGTCAATGTACTTTTAACAAAAGAGCACCAAAATTTTATACATGTAAGAAAATTACGACATATTTTGAAGCAGTTGTTACAAATATCAGGGATTCAACCCTATTACCCTCATCAACCTTATGGATACTTGGACTTTAGTGAACGGTCATCCTGTTTCCACTTCACAGTTTCTTAAGTTGACATAGCTGTTCTTGATTTATTTCTGGCAGACTTCTGCATTTACTCAATGCTGGTTTCTTTAGGTCATGTCTCTTCATGAGACCTTTAAACAGCTAATGTGGCTGACATACTACTTAGCGTGGATTCCTTAAACATATTTTCCACAGCCTTCATTTTTTGAGCTTTGTCTTACTGGCATTAAATCACTTGAGACCTTTTTCTTTAACCTGTTCTGATTGCTTTAAAAGCTGCTAAGCTTGAATAGGCCTGCTGTCTCAGAGAAACTTGCACAATCACTGACTACATGGTTTTTTTTTTTAAAGAGCAGATTTCAGTCTCTTTCTCCCTGTGCCATAGAACACATTGCACGTCAGCAGCCTAATTGTTTGCTCTCTTCTACTCTATTTCATAAAGCATTGATCTACTCACCTCGAGGTTTTTTAAAATGTATCATTTAAATAGATGTAAGCATATTTCCAGATACAGTTGTATCACTCAGTTAAAAGAAAAATGAAGCCAAGTCCTTCCCTTCTCAACTTACAGAAGGTAGAAATACAAATCAAGCTTAAAGCTATACATGGGTGTGTCCACTTTAGAATCCATGTTTACATTAGTATAATACTGTATATCATATACCTTCATCAAAGTTGCCAAAGAAGAACCTTCTTGAGGGTTAGGAGGGCTTTAGAATTCAGCATTGAAGGTCTTTGAAGCTGTTAAGAGAGAACAGAATGTGAATATAATCTAAGAAACAGCATCAAATTGCACTGTTAAAAAGCTTCTGTAGTTATCTAAATAGAATAGGTTAGTAAAGACAAATATGGATCCGTTACAGGCAAAGATAGGAGAATTTATAATGGGGAAATAGGGAAATGACAGATGGCTAAATAATTATCTGTCTTTATGGAGGAAGATAAAAGTAATCTCTGAAATAATAGAGCTCCAAGGGACTAGTGAGAATGAGAAACTATTAGAAATTGATATTATTAAAAGTAAAAGTGGAATTGGATAAATTAGTGGGAATGAAAGTTGACAAATCTGTTCAGCCTGATGAACTCCTTCGCAGAATATTGAAGGAGGTGGCTGTAGAAATGGGGTAATGTGGTGTTAAGACAGTTGTAGTAGTAAAAATAAACCATTCAGCTCATCAAATCTGCTGTGCCATTCAGTGAGATCATGACTGATCTGATAATTCTTAACTTCACATTCCTTCCTTTTCCTCAACCCTTGATTCCCTTCATGATTAAAAATCTCCATCTCAGCTTTGAATATATTTAATAATCTAACCTCGCCAGCCATCTGTAGTAAAGAATTGCATAGATTCACTATCCTCAGAAGAAGTTCCTCCTTTATCTGTTTTAAATGTGCGATCCCTTATTCTGAGATTATGTCCTTTGGTCCTAGACCCTTCCTAAGAATCTTGAATGTTTCAATAAGGTCTCCTCTCCTGTTTTTATATCCAAAACAATGACAGACCCAATCGACCCAACCTCCCCTTGTAAATCAGTCTTCAGCCTAGTGAACCTTCTCTGGACTTCATTGCCAGTGTTATGACATGGAGACAGATGGCCAAATCCAATCAGCCTCTCTATTCTCTGTATTTGCAACATAGTGAAATTCAAATATTCATTGCTCCTCAAAATTGACCCCACACGTTCCTGAAAGGCATTTCGAATAACCGGTACCAGATTTTGTGGTAAAACAAGAAACTTTGGATGCTGGAGATCGGCAACAAACAAAACTTGATTGTTGGAGAAAGTCTGACTTTGTAAATAACTGATACCAGACAGTAGGTTTATAGCGTCAACAAAAGGTTTAACAATTTATTCATAATAACGTAGCTTTGGTTGAACATAGATAAGGTGAGTAGCAAAGGTCTTTTCCCTAGGGTAGGGGAGTTCAAAACTAGAGGGCATAGGTTTAAGGTGAGACTGGAAAGATTTAAAAGGGCCCTGAGAGACAATTTTTTTTTTAATGCAGAGGGTGGTGTGTATATGCAATGAACAGTCAGAGGAAGTGGTAGATGCTGGTACAGTTATAACATTTAATAGATATTTGGACATGTATGTGAATAGGAAAGATTTAGAGGGATATGGGCCAAAAGCAGGCAAATGGGCCTAGTTTAATTTGGGAAACTTGATTGGCATGGGTGAGTTGGACCAAAGGATCTGTTTCCATGCTGCATGACTCCGTCACGCATGTTAATTTAATTAACGTCTAAAATTTAAACGCAATCCTATTTAGTTATAGCCCCCATTCTCTTAAAGATCAACAAACCGACACAATTGAGGGATAAATCAAAAGAGAAAAATAAATGAATGTGACTGGCCAGTTCACTTGAGCAGACTGCGTGATCTGTAACATCAACAGCCTGTGGGATTATATCTTGCTTGGTTTCTGACACAGATCCATGCAGATTATTTGCAGTAGCGTCTGAGGAATATTCATTTAATTCTTGTAACTATTCTCTGAACTTTGATAGGACATCTAGAGCGCGATCAAACCTGTGTCCTGTAGCTTTTGCAGGCACAATTGTTCTGACCCAAACACAGTCCAGAAACCAGTTCAAACTCTGGCCTGTCCCTTACAGACTAATCGTCTGCCCAAGAGGTCCCAGTTAACATTCAACATGTGCCATCTGTTTGGGGCATAAGACCTGTCTGGGCTCAAAGCATCTATGGAGCACTTTCTAAATAGGAAGCAATCTGCAATTAACTTTCAAGGCTGGCCTCAAAAGCAAATAACTTGTTTGTTCTCACTTGAAACCAGGCTGCTGTCTTCAGTATGAAGATCATACTTCAGCACTCGGCTCAAAATTCATAGCTCCAAACCAAAAATGATAAAAAGGATAACATAAGATGAAAAATTAGCAAGGCTTCTAACACTAGTATATCTTTTTATCTGTCAAAATTCTATTGATTCTTGAACAATTTCTGCAAATTGGAAGGCTGCAGATGGCTTCCCTTCTGTTTAAGAAAGGTAGGAGAGCAAATACAAGAACGGTTAGCCTGATGTCTGTAGTAAGGAATATCCTAGACATAGAAAAAAATGTAATAACTGGACACTTGGAAAATAATTTGGGCAGAGTCAATATGCATTTATGAAAGGGAAATCATGTTTGACAAACCTGTTGCGTGTTTTTGAGAATATACGTAATAGGGTAGATAAGGAAGAACATGTCGGTCTGTATTTGGATTTTGAGGCTTTTGGTAAAGTTACATAACATAAAGGTGGTTAATGATCAAAATGAGAGAGCACAAAGGGCAGGGGTTAACATGTTGGCATGGATTGAGAATTGTTTAACAGAAAACAGTAGGAATAAATGGGCAATTTCAGGTGGCTGTTGGAATACTGTAATGATCAGTGCTTGGGCCTGAGCTTTTTGCAATCAATATGAATGATTTGAATGTAGAGATAAAATGTAGTATTTCCAAGTTTGTAGATGACACAAAACTAGATGGTGATGTGAATTGTGAGGGTGATATAAAGAGCCTTCACAGGGATTTAGACAGGCTGAATGAGTGAGCAAGAACATACGAGAGAGAGAGAGAGATAATGTGGAAAAATGAGAGTTTATCCCCTTTGGCAGGAGGAATGAAGGTGCAGAGTATAATTAAATGATGGATTGGGAAGTGTTTTTGTCCTGAATTGAGAATGCAAATGGTATGTTATTCATGTCAAGAGGATTTGAGTACAGGAGTAAAAATGTCTTGCTTCACTTGTATAGAATGTTGATGAGACCACGCTTGGAGTATTGTGAATAATATTGGTCCCTTTACCTGAAGAAGAATATGCTTTATAGCAGCACTCAAAATATATAGGTCACGAGCAAATCTGACACAAAATCTCTAGGGAAAACCATTCGTGAAGGTGACCGATCACCAGACAAATCTCACCTGCAATAGAATGGAAGGGAATTGTGAGGAATTGCTCCCCAGTCACATGCTGGTTTGCTGTATCAGTTGCCGATAGGTTTGCAACAAATGCAGGAGGGAAACAGCCTGTTGTTGGAGGAGCAGTGAGGGAGTCTCTGTTGGATGGGAGTCTGGGAACTAGGATCTAGAAGCAAGGTGGGGTTGTGTGGTTGTGAGGTGCAGTTAAAGAAGCCTTGGTAAGTTGTTGCTGTGTGAAACAGCAAAGGATGAACAGAAAGGCTTGGAAAGTAGTGAATATAGTCAATGATGTGATCCACTATTAAGGGAAATCTTAGTTGCTAAGAGTCATTTCAGAGGCTTTGGAGAAAATGTTTACAACAGAGTTCCAACAAAGATTGAAAAATTGAAAGAGATTTGATTTATTGTCACATGAATCTTGTTACAAAATAGTGAAAAGTGTTGATAGTGTTGCCACTGCTAAGTGCTATTTTAAAATGTTGAAAAATAAACCAAAACACACAATGTAAAGGCGGAAAAATGAAGAAGTGAAGTAAGTGTCCTCTTATGTCCTGACAATTGTTGTCAAGTGCTCCGTTATGAGTCCCCTTTGCTGCGCTGCCGCTGCAGGAATGAAAGTTGCCACACTTCAACGTCATCTTGCCTCCACTAGTACCTTCACCACTGTGCCCTTGTTGTACCTAGCCAATACTATCACCACTGATGTTGCTGGGTACTGCACCAGCCCAAACTTGCCACTGCCATGAGTCTGCTTCGGGCCTAACTCGCTGATGCAGCCACTGCTGATGCTGCCAGGTCTCGTACTGGGCCCAAACTCACCACCTCCGCCTCCACAAATCTGTACTGGACTTGGACACTGCTGGGAACACAAACTCACCTGTGCAGTAGCAGCCATGAATCGGCGCTAGGGACTCCTCAATGATTCCGAAGCTGCCGGGAGCCCAAACTTGCTTCACCTGCCACCGCCACAATTCTGCACTGCTGGGCCCTCTTGCCACTGCCGCCATCGCCGTGACCGAGCTCTTCACCAAGAGCGAGGTAAAATCAAATAGAAGAGGGGAATAAAAGCAAGAGAAGAGAGTAAGCGAAGAAATGAAACAAAAAGAAAAGCCATTGAAGTGTGGATGAGCCCCGGGCTCAGGAGCCCTACTCCACTGCCAATGGAGTCTTTAAGATAAGTGGGCAAGAACAAGATCCAAATATGGAGTGGATGTTCACTAAAAGTCCATTTCCAAAGAGGGCAAGATGGGTGATCAGAAACTGCTGGGAATTAAGATGGGTTACATTTGGGTAATAGATGGTTTAAAACCTGAAATTCTCAGCAAAACAAACAATATCAATGCAGTTATCATTGGAATAGAGGAAAGAGTTAGGGAGGGGACCTGAGTAGGGTTAGAACAAAGCTTTTTCCTTGTGTCTTACAATACATGGAAGTGCGTAACTGTGCTGAAGATAAAAATAATAAAGTAATTTGGAGTAATTCCTGTTTTATTTGCCTCTGCAGTAAAGACATGGCGTCAGTGGGCGCAAAGGAAAAATAAACAATTTGAAAGAAAGTTTGTAGATAGCTGGTCTGTATTTAGCATTTCTGTTAAGCTAAATTATAAAGAAATAATTTTGAAGTTATATTGAGATCACTTTCATATTGTAGGGTCCTAACATGTCCCATTGCAAAATCCTGTGTTGGGAGCTCAAAAAAAGGAAAGTGGCATTTAAATTCAGGCAAGCACTAAGCTCCTGACACTGAATTGGAGCTTCCCTTCATTGGTGAATCAGTAGGCGTTTTTAGATTGGTACAGTGCTTAATTTTATCCTGTTAGAAAACTTGAGAATTGAGGCAAGTTGATGAAACTAAAACACTAAATTGCTCTCTTAGTTGAAGCAAACAACAACACAGCAGTACTTGAAAATCCTGGAATTTACTGGTCGATGTGCTTAAGTAGCATTTCTATTATCAAAGCATTATTGTGGATGCAGTATTTTGTTTGAGACTACTATTGCATGGAATGGATTTTGTTTTTCAGAGATCAATTCTGGGAAAATTTGACGTCTGTGCTTTTTGGAGAACTGCCAGCACCCTGTAACATTACAGAGGTATAACTTGGAACCATTTTTTAATAGCCTGATTTTCAGTAAGTTACTGCTACTTTCTCCAGGGAGCACCATTTGACTCTATTCCGATTGTCTGCATTTCAATAGGAAGCTTTGGTTGCCAATTTCTGTATCGATATCACAGAGACATGGTTGAGGGAGGGTCAGGACTGACAATTCAGCATTCTGGGGTATAGAATCTTTAGGTGAGACCTGGTGGAGTTTGGTGTAAAAGAGGAGGTGGTTTTGCAATATTGATGGAGGAGTCAATTACTGCAATAAGGAAGGATGATATCTCAGAAGGATCTTCAATTGAGGCCAAGTGGGTAGAACTTAAAGGGGACAAACACTTCTTAGGGCTGAACTACAAACCCCTAAACAGTTAGGATGAGATAGAAAGATAGATGTGTAGGCAAATCTCAAGTGTAAAACTAATGAGATTTCAACATCCACTATCTTAACTGGCTTACATAATGTCTAAGACTTAGAAGGGTGGAATTCTTAACATTTGTTCAGGAGAGTTTTTTAAGCTAGCATATGGAAAGCCCAGCAAGTGAATTGCCTAATTTTAGGGAATGATAGATGTGGTAATAGGAGAACATTTCAGTGATAGTGACCATAATTCAGTTAGATTTAAAGTAATTTTATGGATGGGGACAAAGATGGACTGGAAATAAAGGTTGTAAATTGGAGGTGGGATTGATTGGGGTGGGGTGAAGCCAGGGGGCCGCGGTTGTTGATCTTAATAAGACAGGATCTGGGTACAGATAAATCCGCAGCATAGCAGTGGGTGACATTCAGAAAGTTTTGGAAAGTGTGTGGCAAAATATGTTCTCATAAAAGTGAAAAGGTGGGACCCAACAAGTGCAGAGAATCCAGGATGTCAAGGATTGATAAAACCAAAGAAAGCTTGTGTTAAATACCAAAGGCTCCAAACAGCGAATGTCCTAGTGGAGTACAGAAAGTGCGGGGATTTGCTTTAAATGAGAAATTAAGAGAGTGAAGAGGGATGTGAAAAAAATACCAGCAGGTAGCAGTTAAGGAAAGTTGGCATTTTATATATTTATTAGGAGTGAGAGAAGAGCCAGATAAAGAAGAGGGCTCATTAGGGAGCCAGAAAACACAGCTGAGGTTTTAAATGAATACTTTGCACCTGTGTTCACAATACAGAAGGATAACATTGGTTGAGAAATCAGGAGTCTGTGATATACTTGACCAAATTGGCATTGAGAGGGAGAAGGTTTTATTTGTTTCAGCAGGCTTGAAAGTGGATAAATCCTTAGGCTCGGATGAGGTGTATCCAAGACTGCTGAGAGAGGTAGGGAGGATGCTGACGTTAATTTATGTCCTTGCTGGCCACAGGAGGGGTGCCCTTGGACTGGAGGACAGCTAATGTGATAGTTCTTAAAGAAGGATGGTGGGCATAAACGAGGCAACTATAGCTAGTGAGTCTAACATCTGTGGTAGGGAAATCCTTGGAAAAACTTCTGGGGAGTGGAATTAATCTTCACTTGGAGAGGTAAGAATTAATTTTATGGAGGTGGCTAGATGTATAGATGAGGGTAATGCAGTTGATGTCCATGTGGACTTCATAAGACTTTTGATAAGGTCTCACATGGTGGACTAATTAAGAAAGCAAGGGCCCAAGGGATCCAGAGTAGGATGGCAAACTGGATCCAAAATTGGCTTGCTGGCAGGAAGCAGAGGGTGATGATTGAAGGGTGTTTTTGTGACTGGAAACCTTTGAGCAGTGGCATACCACAGGGTTCATTGCTGGATCCCATGCTGTTTGTTGTGTAGATTAATGTTCTGGATGTGAGTATAGGAGAAGTAAATGCACAGATGACACAAAATTTCGTGAGGTAAATACTGAAGAGGAAAGCCTTAGACTACAGAATGATGTAGATGGGCTTAACAGTGGCAGATGGAATTTAATCCTGAAAAGTACAAGGTGATCCATTTTGGAAAGACTAACAAGGCAAGGGAGTATACTTCAAAAAAAACCTAGGACATAGAGGATCAGAGAACCTGGTGTGCATGTACAGAAAGCCTTGACAGCAGGAGGCCAGGTAGATAAAGTGGTCAGGGCATGTGGGATACATGTCTTTATTAGTCAAGGCATTGAATACGAGAGCAAGGAGGTTATGATGGAGCTGTATATACCATTAGTTAGAGCGCAGCTGTGGTCACCACACTATAGGAAAGATGTGATTGCACTAGGGAAGGTGCAGATGTGATGTACCAGGATGGGGGTGGGGTGCGGGGAGAAGCAGATTTAAGGCAAGGAGCAGGAGGTTTAGATGGCATTTGAGGAAATTGTTTTTCACCCAGAGGGTTGTGCGTGTCTGGAACTCGCTGCTTAAAAGGATGGTGGATTAAGTCAAAAATCACACAACACTAGGTTATAGTCCAACAGGTTTATTTGAAATCACCAGCTTTTGGAGCGCAGCCCCTTCATCAGGTGTGGTGAGAGGAGAGCACGCAAACAGTTCATAGGCAGAGAGATCAAAGGATCATACAACTGGTGTGAGTGGAGTGAAGAAACCTAAATTGGCTGGCTGACTGCCTCCTGTTGAATCTTTAATCATTCATACATTCCTGCATTCTAGAAATTGCACAAATAGGAAATGGAGAACTGTTAGTTTCAATTGATTAATCTGTTTTAAGTCTGCCCCAAGATAAAAGTTTCATCAGTATCTGCCTAATTTTCCAAACTTCAAACAGGCAGAGTGATAAGAATATACAACAGGTGACATCTCAACTCAGGCACTGAATTTTAGGTATGAGGCCTTGTCCAGAGTCTGTCTCAGAGTTTTAACCTGGAATCAGGCTGGTTTTGTTCCTAAAGCAGGAATTTATAAAATGCCACACTGACTGTGACTACAAATTGTGCGTTTCTTGAACAAAATAGAATGTATCTGCAAATAAACAAACATCTTTGAAATGATTCACCCATAGGTTTATAGTATGTAGGTATGTGCATGTGCGCTCGCTCGCTTGAGAGAGAGAGAGTGTGTGTCAGTGTCCAAAACTGTGCAAACTACTTAAGGTAGAGAGATCAAAACAAGTTATCAAGGTGATAGTGTCAATACAGGACAGTAAGGAAGATTTTACAGATATAAAACATTGTGGTTGGGTCACCTGTAGTGTGACATTATCCCAAGATCACAGTTGAGGCTATTTTCGTGGGTATGGAACCTTGGCTATCAGTCTCTGCTTTGTTATCATTCTGCATCTTGGAGGACACTTACCTGAATATCTGATGCTGAATGCCCTTGACTACAGAAGTGGCGATTGTGTAGTATTCATTCATCTGGTGTCGTAGCACTATCTTGCCAATAAACCATGGCTTGGGGCATCCTTGCCTGCATTGTATGAGTTGGACAACATTGGCCAAGTCCATTGATTGTCTCATTGGACTCGCTGTTGACATCTTGGGGATTGTTGAATTCCCGGAGCCTCATTTGCCTGATACATTCCTCTGTCTGCCGCGAGACCCATGGGGTCCGTTTTGGTAGTGGGGCAGAAATTGAGCCCTCGGCTGAGAACTTTGATTTCGTCCAGTTGGAGGGTTTGGTCAGATAAGTTGATGTGTTTCCCTGTGCTAGTGCCGCTTTCAACTGTGGTACCAGGGGAAGCTTGGTTACTCCTGGTGGTGATGCCAATGTTCTCCAGTTCCTTGTTCTTGGTGTGCATGTAGGTGGTGTAGTTCCATTGGCTCGTCTGCTTGGCAGTGTCTTGGCAGTTCTTCTGTATCTTGAGCGCAAGCTGAGAATGTAGGCTCTGTCTTGATTTCAAGGTTGTGGCGCCTGCTGTAGTGTTGGTGAACGTGATGATTAAGGAGTTTGTGAGTCGTGCGATGGCAGAGTCTCAGTGTAGTGTGTTGTACGTCAACTTGGGTGGGTTTCTGATCTGTAGTCCTTAGATCTTCTCTGCTTTCTTGCATTTCTGCAGAAATTTGTCTTGTCGACATGTGCGATCTTGGAGATCCTCTTCTTTTTGAGCCGGCGGCTTGTGGTATTGATAGTAGCCATGATGTGGAGGTGCTGGTGTTGGACTGATTCCAAGTTAAAACTCTGAGACAGACTCTGGACAAGACTTCACACCTACAATTCAGTGTGCGACCTGAGATGTCACCTATTGCATATTCTTATCGCTCTGCCTGTTTGAAGTTTGGAAAATTAGGCAGACACTGATGAAACTTTAATTATCTTGGGGCAGTGACTTGAATCAGATTCTGGAATTTGCAGCTTAATGAATTGAAACTAGCCGAGTTCTCCATTTCCTGCTTCTGCAATTTCTAGAATGCAGGAATGTATGAATGATTAAAGATTCAACAGGAGGCAGTCAGCCAGCCAGCCACTCTACGTTTCACCAATGTCCTGTACAGCTGCAACATAACTTCCCATCTTCTAAACTCAATGCTCTGATTGTTAAAGCCAGTGCGCCAAAAGCTGCCTTCACTGCGCTGTCTACCTGTGACTCCACTTTCAGAGAATTGTGCACCTAAACTCCAAGGTCCCTCTGTTCCGCTATGCTCATTAAGGCCCTACCATTCACCATGAAATTCCTACCTTGATTTGCCTTTCCAAAATGCAACATCTCACACTTATCTGCATTAAACTCCATTTGCCATTTCCAGGTCTTCTGCTCCAGCTGATAAGATCCTGCTGCAATTTCTGATAACCTTCCTCACTTTCCACGATACCACCTATTTTAGTGTCATCTGCAAACTTACTAATCATGCCTTGTACATTCTCATCCAAATCATTGATATAGATAACAAACAACAATGGGCCCAGTACCGACCCCAGAGGCACACCACTATTCACAGGCCACCTATCCATCAAGTATCTTTCCACTATTACCCTCTGCTTCCTACCATCAAGCCAATTTTGTAAACAATTTGCCAGCTCTCCCTAGATTCCATGGGATTTAACTGTCCAGAGCAACCTACCATGTGGAACCTTACCAAAGGCCTTACTGAAATCCATGTAGACTATGTCTACTGCCCTGCCCTCAGCAACCTTTCTGGTCACTTCATCAAAGAACTGTAACAAATTTGTGAGGCATGATCTCTCATGCACGAAGACATGCTGACTACCCCTAATCAAATCCTGTCTTTCCAAATGCATGTGTATCTTATCCCTCAATCTTCTCAAGTAACTTACCTACCAGGGATGTTAGGCTTACTGATCTATAATTCTCACCTGTGGCTAGTGATGATGCACATGTATCAGCCAGGGCTCCCGCAATCTCTTCTGTAGCCTCTTGCAGGGTTCTTGGATATGTTTGGACAGGACCAGGACATTTATCCACCTTCATACATTCTAATTCTTCCAACAGCACCTCTACTGTGATAGGGACTGTCCCCAAGACATCTCTACTAACTTCCCCAAGTTCCCAAATCTTCGTGTCTTTCTCCATGGTAAGCACAGAGGAGAAATATTCATTGAGAACCTCCCCCATCTCCTAGGGTTCCACATATACATGTCTACTTTGGTCCTTGAGGGGTGCTATTCTCTCTCTAGTTATTCTTATTCCTTTAATATACTTAAAGAATCTCTTTGAATTCACCCTAATCTTCTCAGCCAAAGCTATCATGTGCCCCCCTTTCACCCTCCTGGTTTCCTTCTTCAGTAAATACCCCCATGTACCTCCAAAGATTGCCTTGATCCCAGCTGCCTGTACCTGAGCCATGCCTCCTCCTTTTTTCTGGTCAAAGCCTCATTATCTCTTGTCATCCACGGTTTCCTACTCTTGCTAACCTTGTCCTTCATCCTCACAGAAATGTATAGACCTTGAACTCTAGCTATCACACTTTTAAAGGCCTCCCACTTGCCAGAGGTCTCTTTGCCTGCAAACAAACTACTCCAATCAACCCCTGCAGGCTCCTGTCTAATTCCATTAAGATTCACCTTGCTCCAGTTTAAGACTTGAACCTGTGGACCAGTTTTGTTCTTCTCCATAACTATTTTAAAATTAATAGAACTGTGGTCACTGGTCCCAAAGTGCTCCCCCACTATCACCTCAGTCACCTGCCCTGCCCTATTTCCCAAGAGTTGTTGAGTTTTGCCCCTTCTCAAGTAGGATCCTCCATAATACTGCTTGAGGAAACTTTCCTGAACACACCTAACAAATTCCTCCCCATCTAAGCCCTTAACACTGACAGTCTCAGTCTATGTTAGGAAAAATAAAACTCCCCCACTATGACAACTCTATTTCTCCTGCAGGTTTCCACAATCTCCCTACATATTTGTTCCTCTAATTCCTGTTGACTATTTGAGGGCTTATAGTACGACCCCAAAAATGTCACCATCCTGTTCTTATTTCTTAGCTCCATCCACAGTCTCACTGGATGATCTGTCAGTTATTTCATCTCTGACTACTGCTGTGATACTCCTCCTGCTTAGCAAAAATGCAACTCCTCCTTCCTTTCCTCCACCTCTGCCTGTCTAAATCACCTGTGCCCCGGAACATTAAGCTGCCAGTCCTGTCCCTACCTTAGCCATGTCTCTGTAATAGCTATGATATCCCAGCCCCACGTACCTCTCCATGCGCTGAGTTCATTGGCCTTACCCGTCAGCTGTCTTGTATTGAAATTGACGCAATTTAATCCAACGGGCATTCCTTGCTCTCTGTCATGTTCCAGCTTGACCTGTCTCCTCAACTTGCTATTTCTGATTACTGTATCTCCTTCTAGCCTCTCACTTGCCTCCCTACCAATCTAGTTTAAACCTGTTGGACTATAACCTGGTGTCTTGTGAACTTTGACTTTATCCAACCCAACACCAGCACCTACACGTTAAAAGACGGTGGAAGCAGAAGCAGTCGACATTGAAGATCTATGTAGATTAGCACTTGAAATGCCATTAGCATATAAGGCTACAGAGCAAGATCTAGAAAACGGGATTAGAGTAAATGAATGTTTGACTGAGACAACAAGATGGGCTGAAAGGCCTCTTTCCATTTCGTAAAAATTCTGGCAATGAATAACACTGCTGAGGTATTGTGTAGCTTCCTAATTATTTTTATCAACACCTTTCTTAAAGCTGCTGTCTATTGTCAGAACTGTACTGAGTTGGACGTGCTTTCCTTATAATACAAGTACTGTTGAGATCTATTTGCCAACCTTTTAAGCTCTTGCCATCACCTACCAAAATGATGACTGGTCCTTTGTTTCATTTCCCCCTTGCCTCCAAAATGCGTGGCAGTAAACTTCATAGTACCTTAAAGCAGATGAATATCTATAAGCGGATGTGAAGTTAATTCAACCTGCTCCGTATTAATGAATTTTGTAATAATAATTATTCTGATACAGAAGAGCGTACTGGACACTTGTGCCTTCACCCTGAAGATCATCTGCCTGGAAATTTACTATGTTGTCAGGTACAATTTTTTTTTCTTTTGCTTCTTACTTCCAGGAGACGTGGGCCTTGCTGCTACAGTCAGAATACCCTTGATCTGATTGGCTCGTAAGGCAATTTCAGAGGCCAGTTAAGAGTCAACAGCATTATTGTGGGTCTGGAATCACATGTAGGCTGTTGCAGATAAGGATGACAGATATCCTTCCTTCAAGGATGTTAGCAAACCAAATCGGTTTTTACAACAATCGATGATAGTTGTCATGATAATTCAATTTATTGCCACTAGCTGTTGTGGTGGAGTTGAACCCATGACCCATCAGCCCACGTCTTTGCATTGCTAGCTCAGTTACATTATTATGCCACCACTTCCCTGATTCAGAAACAGTAACAGTTTTTTCAGCAGGGTTATTTATTAAATAACAATCTGTTCCTGTGTTGAGATACAGGTAGATTACATCATGATGCTGAAACATCCATGACCGAGAAATTCCACTGGCTTAAGTGAATTAGAGACTGAAAGTAATCCTATCTGGTGTTCCTCTGCCGCCTTCTGAGTTAGGAATTTTGCACACACCTGCGCTTGAGACACAAATACTGCTTAATTAGATCATATTCACTGACCTATGTTGACTCCTGATCTTAAAACTCATCCTTGTTTTCAAATTCCTCCATAGCCTGGCCTTTACTCTCCCTAAATCCTGCAGTCCTACTGTCCTTCAATTCTGGTCTTCTGACCATCTTCTATTTTAATTATTGTACCATTGCAACTGTGTTTCCAACTGTCAAGTCCTAAGCTCTGGCATTCACTCCTTCAATCACTGCATCTTGTATTCCTCTTACGTTTTTGGTTATGTGCTGTAAAAACTTTTATGTGGCAATGATGTGAAAATTGTTTTGCTCCTTGAAGAAACTTTGGACATCTTCCTATGCTTCATAAATACCCAGCTATTGTTAGACTGCAGCAGCAACTTCACTGAGGTCTACTAGTTCTTTTTAATTTGTTCAAGTCAATTGCAGCAATGTCTGGAAAGTAAATAAACCAGTCGTCACCTGATGGGATTCCTCTTTGATTAGTCGGAACAAAATTTGGAGATTTAGGATTAATGTTGCAAGCTGTGCCAACATATGAAATAAGAGCTGATGTAGACCATTTGGCGCCCGCTCTACCAGTCAGTAATAATGTGGTTGATAGTTTGTTTTGAATTCCACATTCCCACCTGCACCTGAACCTTTGATTCCTTTCTAACAATAATCTGTCCACCATGCTTTAAAAAATATTCACACTAGCCCCAATTCCACTGTCTTCTGAGGCAGAGGATTCCAAAGTGTGTCAACCCTTAGGGAGGAAAAGATATCTTTACCTCAGTCCTAAAGGGAAACTTCTAACTTTAAAACAGTGGTTCTGAACATACCTAAGAGCAAACATGCTTTCCATGTGTACCTTGTCAAGACCTTTCTGGATCTTACACATTTCAATTGAGTCACCTGTCGCTCTTCTAAACACTTGTGGAAACAATCCTAGTCTTTGCAATCTTTCCTGATTAGGCAGCTTGCTCACTCCAGGTATCAATCTAGTAAACCTCTCCAACACATTTGTAATCTTCCTTAAGTAAAACCAAAACTGCACACAGTATTTAAGATGTGATCCCACCTGTGCCCTGTATAACTGGAGCACAACAACCTTACTTTAATGTTCAATTCCTTTCAAAGAATAGCATTCCATTAGCTGCATTAACTACTTGCTGTACCTGCATGTTAATGTTTTAAGACTCATGCGCGAGAACACCTAGATCCCTTGGAATTCTGCTGTCATTCTCTGCTAAAGTAATACTTTGCATTTTTTATTTTTCCTGCGAGAGTGAATAGCTTCACGTGTACTTTGCCAATTTTTTGCCCACACACTTAAGCTGTACTTATTTTTCTGTAAACTCTCTTGTCTTCACAGCATTACTTTCTGTCTATCTTTGTCATCTACAAATTTAGCTACCATGCTTTCGCTCACCACCTCGTTGATGTAGCTTCTAAAATGTTGAGGCCCCAGTACAGACCCCTCCCACACTCAGCTCCTGCCAGTCAGATGCAGACCCATTTATGTGCACTTTTGTTAGTCAGCCAAACTTCTATTCCTGCTAATATGTTACCTTCTACACCATGAGCTTTTATTTTCTGCAATAACTATTGTGGCATCCTATCAAATGCCTTCTGGAAACCCAAGTACATCTACAGTATCCCTCTTACCCACACTGTTTCTTCAGTGAGCCCTAATGAATTGGCTCGACGTGTTTCCCTTTCATGAAACTGTGCTGAGTCTTCCCAGTTCCCTTGAATTTTTCGAAGTGGCCAGTTACAACCTCTTTACTCAATTCCATCACCTTCTCCATGATGGATTTTGAATTAACTGACATACAGATTCCTGTTTTTTGCATCCCTCCCTTCTTGAATGAAGCGGTTATTTTTTGCTATTTTCTAATCTGATGGAGCTTCTTTTGAATCTAGGAAATTTTTGAAAGCTTAATCTCGTGCATCTATTACTTCATTAATCACCTTTTTGAAAACTATAGGATTAATCACATCTAGACAGAGCCTTCTCTGCCTGCAGCTACATCAATTTGCTTAGCACTCCTTACCTCGTGATTGTAGTTTTACTATGTTCATCTCTTCCCTCTTCCCCCCCCCCCCCCCCCCCCCCCCCCCCCAAATACAGCTGTTACTAGAAATTCTTTTGTTCTCTACAATGAAGACAAAAGCAAAATATTTGTTCCTTTCACCCAATTATTTCTTTATTTACTGCTAATGCCCATTCTCCAATTGTAGAGCACCAGCAATCATGTTGCTTGCTGTTTTCCTTTTTAAATACCTGCAGAAACTCTTGTTATCTGCTTCATATTTCTAACTAGCTTCCTCATACTCCAATGTCTTCCTTCGGACAAAATGATTTTTAGTCGTTCTCTGCTGTACTTTTTTTGCTGTGACCAATTATTTAACCTGCCACACACCTTTTGTGCTTTTCCCTTAAGTTTGATGCTTTTCCTAATTGCATAAGTTGACCATGGATGTGGATCCTCCCTTCGCAATTTTTCATGGTAGTAATATACTTATTCTGAGCATTCTGAAATATTCCCTTAAACATCTGCCACTGCATCTGTATGGATCCATCCTCTAACCTATTATACAAGTTCACTTCAGCTAGCTCTGATTTCTCCCAAATCAATCTTTGAGCCGTGTCCTTCATCTCTCTAACTTTATATGCTCTATGCGAATTAGCACATGGTTGAAGTAATCAGACATTATAATCTTTGAAGTTTTGCTGTAAAATTAGTGCCTAGTTCCTCAACTCTATACAGAACTCCTTTCCTAACTCTACCTATATTATTAGCATCTACATGGACCATGATAACTGCTTTTTCCCTACTTGCAACAGTAGGTCAAAAGTAAGGTGAATTTTGGTTAAACATAAATATTTTTCATAATTCATACAACATATGTTAATGTACTAATAAGTTGCTATTAATTTTAATGTATTAGATGTGTTGGAATAACTATATCAATGCTGTGTTTTTTTAATCCTTCACCCAGTTAGTTTTTTGAAACTTATTCTTCATTTTGCAGTTGAGAAAACAGTGTATGCTGTATAAATCTGTATTTCGGGAATTTTGGTTTATGGATTTTCTTTTTGTCATTACATTGGGAGGTTCTTAGAGAAGCTTACGCTTTCTGTGTAAAAGGAAAGACACAAGTTTTCTATTTTGGTGAATGTTTCTTCTGTTTTTAATAGATGGACTGAATGAGGAATTTTGTTTTCTTCTGATCTCCTTTCTGTGCAGTTGTAGATTTATTCTTAGGTTAGTTGTTGCACAAAATAATTCAAGTTTGTTTTAAAAACCATTCTTGATAACTATCCCTTCTCTGGTGTTTGTAGTGCGTTTGCAATACCAACTCTCTCAAGTTATTTTGTCATTTTTCTCTTTAATTGACAAATCCTTTACAGTCACAAAGGTGTCAAAGTTGTGGTCCAGTCGTCTGAGTTGACTCAAGCCAAGTATGAATTAGCAGTTGATGACCTATGTTTAAATAGTCATTGATTTGTATTTTTTTTTCTGTCAGGGGTTCTCTGGACCAATCTTTAAAGCACACACTGAAGATGTTCTTTGAGAAGAAGCGGTATGAATATTGGTCTGAGTACATAAAATCTCTTGTTACGCATATGATGGAGACAGAAACTGAGGGGGTTGCTCCATTTCTGGAGTTCCATATGATAATCTCTGCATGGAGAATGGTGCTCGTACTGGCTACCAACTACGTAAGGAAAATATACTATTTATTTTGAGGATTAATAGGAAATTTGTCACCATTATATAGTAGTGACGTGCAATTTTCTAATTTTTCACTTGGATTGTCTCCAGGACCTGACATGGACTTCAAGTTATAGCCCTTTGGTTTTCTTTATATATTCTTTCATGGGATGTGAATGTCACTGGACAGGCTACTATTTATTGCCCATCTCCAATTGCCCAGAGGGCAGTTGAATGTCAATCACGTTGCTTTGGATATAAATTCACATCGGCCAGACTGGTTAAGGATGGCAGATTTCCTTCTCTAAAGGACATTAGTGAACAGATGGGTTTTTCCTGACAATTGGCAATGGTTCATGGTCATCATTAGACTCATAATCCCAGATTTTTATTGCATTCAACTTCCTGCCATGGTGGGACTTGAACCTGGGTCCCCAGGGCATTTACCTGAGTCTCTAGATTAATAGTGGAGTAATAATACCATTAGGTCTTCACCTCCCCAATATTCTGAAGCAGTGTCAACCAAATTAATGAAGTAGCCAATGAGGCAGTAGTCAGGGAGCACTTAATGAAAACAGGATTCTCATAGTGCTTGATGCGCAGCTGACATTTTAAAAATGTTTCTTAGACGTATGCAAAATGTGTAGAATGTATACATTGCTCTGAGAACATTGAGTTAACCATGTAGTGTGGAACAGGAGCACATAAGTTTGCCAGACTATGCATCACCCCATTTGGTTTTTAACTGTAATCTCACACAATTAAAATTTTCTGGTATTTGCCAAATAATCACCAATTTTTTTTTAATGCAATTCAATATTTGAATCCAGTTGGTTTGGATCACTGCCTAGTTACATAACTATTATTCTACTGCCCCCGTGTGCTCAGTTATGCAAAATGCAATATGCTCTGGTGACCATGACTAAACTTCCCATTTTCAGTGAAAAGTTTGAACAATTTCTGTGCCAGTCTTTTTGTTACTCTTTTCTTCGGGCATGTAAAAATGGTGGTAGGTGCATATGTAGCAGATTGAAGGCCATCTTCCCCTTTCTTTAAATTTCATACCCAATCTAGGATATTAATACTGCTGCAGATTAACCGTTGCATTGAACCACTTACATTGTGAAATAGCATGCAGATAGCCAAGAATAAAGCTCAATTTTTTTGGCTATTTTCTTCCCCAGGTGGAGGTGATGCATCTATGTGATAATTCACTACGGCTACAGTTATTACAAGATGTTCTAGAGGGAACCAAAGTTTTGGTAAGTTCTTTTGTAATTTCAATCAAATTCACAATCTTAGTATTGCTGAAAAAGACACATTTTTTGAAACTTTGTTTTGTACTCATCAGCACAATTTGTAAGCAGTACTGTTCTAAAAGGAAAACCACATATGTACTGAATGAGAGGAGAGCCCTGATTGATTGACCGGTGGATTCTGGTCAAGACATTGCTATGGATCTTAATTCACAGTTTTAAATTGGGCTTTGAGAACATGTTCAGCACACACAAACCCCTCTTACACATTTTCTGATAAGCAGTTTTAGATTTATATTTGTTGAAAGTGTGCAAGTTAGCTTCAAGTCCACCCTTTTACACTGGACTCTTGCTTCAAAAGAAAACTTTCTTTTTGATAGCTTCTGGTGCCTTCATCTGCTTCATGTTTGCGAATGGGATCTATGTTGGCAACACTCCTCCTAATCTTGTTGAAACAGTGGAAAAGGTAGGAAGCAAAAATATGCAGTTGAAGATAGTTATCTGTTCAGGTTTTGAGTAACATCTTTTGCATTTTCTTTCAGTGTGCATTGTGCATTTCTGTTGGAATTTATGCAAAATTCCACCTGTTTTATTGCCTGTTATTTACTAGAAATTGCTAAAAATTGCAAGAAAATACTGTGCTTCATGTATATTAAATTCGCTCAAAACGGCAATATTATTTTCACTTTCCAATTCCAGATCTGAGAGTATACGGACAGCATGTCTCTGGATGTTGCTTTGTTTCTTCTATTAATCTTATTTAAGGAAAGGTGTATAATGCAGATCGTTGTCCCATAATGATGTAATGGTGCAGAACCCTGGTTTTTCAATTTTCTTTCCCTTTTCAGCATCATTGTTCAAGTGTCTAAAATTCTGGACCCACTGGACCAAATTCTAGAGAGTCTGTCACAGAGTAACCAGTACTTTATGGAGAAGACAAAGGCAAAAATATTTTCAGCTATCATAACTACTCTTCAGATCAAACGGCTACGAGGTGAGAATATCATTTCTTTTCTCAGTACTTCCAGAGATTGTACCCTGTTACCTTAAATCAGTGTTCAAGGTATTGATTGCCATGAAAAATAAGTGTATGCCCAGTGGCTAAAGGTTAGCATCTTTAAAAGAAAATGGAATGGGCTCCACTTGGAAGAGGATGATGTACATCTAAAGCTGAGATGCAGGGAGCATGGGAAGACATGTAATTTGTTCTTGTAAAATTGAGAATGATAATCTGCTTTAGAAAATGGCCATGGTTAGTTTAATATGCTTTTTGTCTATTACTCCAATATTGGTGCCATAGTTGATAAACCAGCAAAAATTATATATCTCAGATATCGGAAGCTTGCTGTTTTATCATGGCCTCCACAATGTCCACGTAGTCAGTTGAGGGTGTGAGTAAGAAAGTTTGCTACCAGTAAGTTTTATTTAAGGCAATAATGCATTATTATTTTATGCTGGAAATAAAATATGACAGAGCCCGTGCATTACATTTCTATTACTTAGTGTGTTGTTTTACATTGATTATGTAGACCTCTTGATCAACCAGTATACTCCTGGTCTTGTAGGTGCCGCTTAATAAAAGGTTTGCTGTACTTATAATCTCATAGCCCCTACTGTAGTACACTCCACATTCTAAAACTGACACCAGGCACACATCTGTTTGACTGCAAACATCACCAACTGCAGCCTGGTAATTCCAGGTGTTAACCTTCCATGAAAAATCTGAGTAACCCCCAAACAGGATGGGCCAGGGAAGATGTGGCCACTTGCTGTGCAAGTTGAAATGAGGAATAGTTTAAATTGTCACACTTAAGAGTATCGCCACACATACTGAACTCTTCCCTGACCAATTCATTCCCAGTGGCATCACAGCTGACAATTGAATTGATCGTTAATCTCCCCATTGAATGTAACTGCTTCCCCAACTCTGTGGATTTTAAAAAAGTGGCATTGATAACATTGAATTATAATACTAAAAAAAGTTTGTGAAATAAATACTTTTCAAGGTTTCACTGATTTTATAAAAGCAAAATATTGTAGATAGTAAAATTCTGAAACTTAAAGCAGAAAATGCTGCCAATCTTTCAGATTTGGCAGTATCTATGGAAATAAACGGTTAATGTGTCAGGACTGTAACCCTATATCTGAGCTTCTGAACAATTGTTGCTTGCCAGGGAGTTGGTATTGGTCTAGAATCTGAGAGGTGATAGTTGAATGAGATTTGTTGTGGGCAGAGGCACGCTGGATGACCTCAAGTTTACATTGCTTAGCATGTGGGATGGTAAGTAGTTGTATATTGGAATAGTCAAGTTTAGAGAGGGAAAAAAAGAAATGGAATGGAGATTTCCACAACAGAAGAGCTGAGGCAGGGTGGTGTTGGGTGTTGAAACAGATTGGAAGTAGATGGTCTTAATGATGGCACAGGTGTGTGTTTGGAAGCTCATCTCAGGATTGGGTGTGGCACCAAGTTTGTGAGCAGTCTCTTCGCCCTTAGACTGTTGCCAGGCAGAGGGGTAGAGTCAGTAAAGAAACAGTTTGTAATTGGGTGGAAACAATGGCATCAGTAGTACCAATTTTTAATTAGAAATTTCAGTTCATCTAGTGTTTGATGTCAGCCTTACAATTTAGAGACTAAGATAGGTCTGAGGGAAGTGGAGTGCTAGTGGATATTGTCAGTGCACATGTGGAACTTGATGTGCTTTTGGATGTTGTTGCTGAGGGGTAACCTGCAGATGAGGAAAAGCAGGCCAAGGATAGATCCTTGGGGGAAACGAGAAGGAGCTTTGTAGCAATGGAAAGAGCCAGTGATTCTCTGGCTACAATTAGACATGAATGGAACTGAGTGCAGTCCCATCAAGCTGGGTGATGGTGAGAAGTTTGAAGAGATGGTGTGACTAACTGTCAAAAACTGGAAAAGGAGAAGGAATAGCTTACCTTCACATCCATTTGTGGCTAACAGCCCTTTTTGTTCTATGGGAGAGACATAAGCAAGTATTTGTTAAGTACAAAATATGTTAAATTGTTTTGTATATTAAAGATACTCTGAGCTGATTTTGAGTTCTGGGAAACATGATCATGACAGTATATTTGCAGAATTTTCAGAGGTAAGGATGGTTGAAATAATATAATAGATTGCAAGAGCATTAAGGTCAATTGCCTTTTGAGGAGAGAGGTGATGGTTGCTGCGTTTTTTGGACAGAACCTGAGGAGAGATCAATTAATATCTGCTGACGTGGGATCCAGGAGGTGAGGTTTGATCAGAAAGCTGTTGGGAAAGCAGAAGATGAGTCTCAGGCAAGATGAGTTTGGAGAAAGAATGAGTGAAAATAGGAGAAACACTAGAGAAAGAAGCAACTGTAAAGTTAAGAGCAGTGGGAAGCCTTGGCAGTGTTTTAGCCTGGTGGATCGGGGTAGAGAAGGAAGTGAGAGACAGCAGATCGATCAATCTCAATCATAGACATCCATGGCCCTTTATGCTTGCTGGAGGTGGGTGAAAGAGACATGAGAAGAATTTAATACACTGGCTTGCGATTGAGAAAAGAAGCAGAGGAAGATAGGGAATGATGATGGTTACCTTTGTATTCCAACATGATTATGGAATAAGGAGCTATTTTCACAGATGAGAACATAAGCTGGTGCTGCTTTCAGCAATTTGCCCAGATCTGGCATGGAATGTCCTAAACCGTTTTTTCTTAAACCATATACATTAAAGGCTCCAACTCTGAATTTAAGAGCATGGAAACGAGGTTTAAGGCTGAGCAATGGCAAGGTGAGAGATAGAAATGTTTTTTTCTGGTGTGAGAGCATTGAAAGTGGAGGTGAGAGTGTAATCGAGCAGACAGTAGTTGAAGAAACGAGTTTTAAATGACATTTTCACTTGTGATGGGCACGTTATTTAGAGGAAGGGTCACCGGACCTGGAACGTTAACTCTGATTTTTCTTCACAAATGCGGCCAGATCTGCTGAGCTTTTTCAGCAACTTCTGTTTTGTTCCTGACTTGCAGCATCCACAGTTCTTTCGGTTTTTATGTCATTTAGAGGGGTGGATTTGCTAGAAGCAAGTATTTATGTTGAACACAAAATTTGTAAAATTGTTTTGTATTTTATAATTTACATGAGTTACACACACTTCAGATTTAAAACTTAGTCATCTTTCCTGTTTTTCAGTTTATTTGCAGTTATCT